AATCTCCGCATCTTTGGCGCGGAGAGCGGCATCCTTGTACTTTTCTTCGACAGCCTGTAGATTACTTCGCAGCTTCTTGTCCCTTACACTATGGGTATGGACAGCCTTGCCGCGTCCGTATTTCTTCTGTGCCTCGATCAACCGTTTATTCTCTTTGCGCTGCTTGGTAGGCGCAACGGCCTTTGTCGGCGCTGATTCCGCCATGGCGACGACGGGGTTGGGAATACCAGGGTTGTGGTCCGGATATTCAAAGGCGAGCAAGATCGGTAAGATTGGGTCAGAGTTAATGATCAAGTTATTTTATCTAAGCTCCTCGAACCAGCTTTGGAGGCTGCGGAGAAATTTTAATTTTTTATTCTGCTGGAAGAAAGGCGCCAAGACCGCCTTTGCGGACGCTCGCTTGTTTTTTATCTCCACCGCCTAATTTTTTCAACATCCATCGATCTATATTATTCATTCTTGCGCCGGACCTTGTTGGTTGTTGCTGTTATATTCTGCTTTTGCAATCTATACGTTCGCTATAAGCTCGACACCCTGGCATCTCTTCCGTTTCGCTTCAAGGGCTCTGGCGGTGCCAATATGGCGCCTACTTCCACGGTGCAGCACCACCACCGTTCCACCACCAAGACTTCGCACAAGTCTTACAAGACTGGCCATGCTTCTAAGCGCGCTCTGAAGGACCAGGCTAAAGGTACAGGAGATTAAACCCACACATCTCTCTTATTTCAACCAGAGCGAATACTGACCTTTTTTTTTTCTAGGCAAGGTCGAAAGAGGAGAGCGGGGCACTCGCAAGACCCCTCACCAGCAACTCATGTCGAAACTCGACCGAAGGAACCAGGCTCGCCAGAAGCAGCAGAACAAGCAACAGGAAAGGGCTCAGGCGACAAGCATTTTCTCCGGTCAAAATGGGGCACCCCGTCACGTCGCCATCGTTCCCCTCTCGGTCGACATCGATACCGGTGCCATCATCAAGGCATTGAACGAAAGTGTTGATATTTCAACCGATGCCTCAGCGGATACTATCTCTCGAGTGCGTGTTGATCGCTTCCGACAGAACATACAGTATATTCCGGCCAAGTATGACTTGATGAGTGCATTGGATGCTTGCCGGATGGCGGACTTCGTTGTGGTAGCGGTCTCCGCACAGGCTGAGGTGGAAGAGCAAGGGGAGCTGTTGCTCAGGTCGATCGAGGGCCAGGGTATTTCAAACGTTGTTGCAGTTGTACAGGTATGTTAACTAGGCAATATTTACGTGCTGCCTTGGATTTATGGCTAATACCGTTATCGTTTAGGGCCTCGATCAAGTCAACCCTCCCAAGAAACGCCCCCAAGTATCTGGGTCCCTCAAATCATTCTTGAACCACTTCTTCCCAGCTGTCGATAAGGTTCTTTCAGTTGATTCCCGACAAGAATGTTCGAATGCTATCCGATCTCTCTGCACCGCAACGCCTAAAGGTATCCGCTGGCGGGACGACCGGAGTTGGATGCTCATTGAAAACGTCAAATGGCCTGAAAGCGCTGCGGATGTGGTGGACGACGTGGTGTTGACCGGTGTTGTACGTGGGAAGGGCTTGAAGACAGACCGCCTGGTCCATGTCCCCGGCTGGGGTGATTTCCAAATCGACACTATCACGTCTGCTCCGCTACCTACTGCACGATCTAAGCGGGATGATGCGATGGCTGTCGATGAAAGCGGGTCGTCTCAAGTGTTGGATGGACCATCTGTGGATCAAGATGACTTGGCTACTGTTGCACCGGAAGAAATTGAGATGGAAGATGATATAGAGTCTATGCCGGATACAGATAAGAAGGGTGTTCTTTTAGATGACCACCACTACTTTTCTGACGATAATGACCATATCCCGGCTAAGCCGAAGAGGCTACCGCGAGGTACTTCCGAGTACCAGTCGCATTGGTTCTTGGACGACGTATCAGACTCCGGTTCCGACATTGTAGACGAGGATGAAGATGAAGACATGGAAATGGACGTCTCTGGAGCTCCCGAGGACGGTGTATTCCCAGACAACCGCGATGCGATGACAGAGGGCGGAGCCTCGGAATACCCTCAATCAGAGATGTTCCTTGACCCGTCACCAGAGGAGGAAGCACAGCAATTGGAAGAATACAGAGCCAGCCGCAGGAACGAAGCCAAGGAAGACCTTGAATTTCCCGACGAGATCGAGCTTCACCCCAATGTCCTCGCCCGAGAGCGACTGGCTAGATACCGAGGAATGAAGAGTCTTAAGACTAGCGCTTGGAACACAACAGAGGACCGACCCCACGAACCCGAGGATTGGCGACGACTTCTCCAATTCGGTGACTATAAGGGCTCCAAGAACAGGATTCTAAGAGAGGCCCTTGTCGGCGGTGTTAGCCCTGGCAGCCGAGTCGATGTCCACCTTCGCGCAGTCCCTGCCTCGCTCCGCAACAAACCCCAACCCTTATCTCTCTTCTCTCTCCTTCGCCACGAACACAAGCACACCGTGGTCAACATCAACATGCGCCTCAACGCTGCCGCCGAACAACCGCTCAAAGCCAAAGAAGAGCTCATCGTGCAATACGGCCCGCGGCGCCTAATCGTTAACCCCGTCTTCTCCTCCGCAGACAATACGCCCAACAACGTCCACAAATACGATCGCTTCCTCCACCCCGGCCGCAGCGCTATTGCCACTTGGATTGGGCCACTCACATGGGGTTCTGTCCCCGTCCTCGTCTTCAAGACTCGAAAGGCTTCAGAGGAGCAAGACCCAGAGATGCTCGACTCCGCTGACGGACCGGAACCAACATCGGCCACAGACTTCACAACATCCACACTTGACCTAATCGGCACGGGCACGGTCGTGGCACCTGACCCATCACGCGTTGTCGCCAAGCGCGCCATCATCACAGGCCACCCGTACAAGATCCACAAGCGTGTTGTCACTGTTCGCTACATGTTTTTCAACTCCGAGGACGTGAATTGGTTCAAGGCTTTGCAATTGTGGACAAGACGCGGACGCAGCGGGTTCATCAAGGAGAGTCTTGGGACACATGGATACTTCAAGTGCACTTTCGATGGAAAGCTGAACCCACAGGATTCTGTGGGAATTAGTTTGTACAAGCGGGTATTCCCACGGAAGGCGAGGGCGCTGGAAGAGATTGATAACTAAGTCAGCCCCCCTTTCTATATACAGCGCGTGTTTGATTTGAGTGGTGGATTGTGATGTTGCTAGAGGCTACACAGGTTGGATAAAGAGATGGGATGATATGATACCACAAGATTCCACTGCATGATTTGATGATCTTTATGTTCTGAGTTTTTTTGGGGTATTTTCTAAAAGTCTTTTGAGATACATACATAGATGTCGATGAACGGCTAAACAGGTCGTAATGAATTATGATTGGCTGCTTCATACCTTATGGTAATACTTAAATACCTACCTGAGCAGCCGGGAGCATAAAAAACGAAAAGGATAGAACAGACCATTCCAACTAGCGAGAAACGTAAAAAAAGTAGTTATCATGACCACGTTTAAGAACCACATCCAAGCAAGATACAAATCTTGTATAGGTTGAATAATAAAACCGGCGTTAGACAAGAAAAACGGACATTGAAAAAACGAGTAACTTATGAAGAGCAAGTTTCTGTAATTTAAGCGAAATCATCTTCCTCTGGTCCTTCAATCCCGTTCTTGATCCGCAATAGAATCGTCGTCTTCCACTTGTCTAATTTGCTGAGCTGATCAAACTGGAAGAGTTTATCGGCGAATGCCTCTTGGTCTCGCGCCTCCATGGTCTGAATCAGGTCTACAAGCAGTTGGTGTTCTCTCGTCGAGCTGAATGTGGGGTCAACGTCACGGTAGCTCTCGAGGGCGCGGTTGGCGGAGACCATGTCCTATTGATATGTTAGTATGTAGGGAACTGGGTAATGGTATAAAGAAAACGAACATTTGTGGCTAGATGACAGAGTCCGGCTTTTAGAAGATAATCTTTGACAGACCACTTCATCAGACCATTGTTAATGGATGAGCGGGAAATCCGCTCATAGTGGTCAATTGCCTTGTAGTAGTCGCTTTCAAGCGCGGCTAAGTCGGCTGCTTTGAGGTAGTGCTTGTTTGCAAGACTAGAAAGAAAGCGTTAGCGCTTCTGAAACTAGTATAATTTAGGGGCAGACGTAGAGCTCACGCTTCGGCATTGTCAGCATCAAACCACTCCGCGGTCTTCTCATAAGCTTCCAGTGCGTTCTTTACATCCCCTAGCTCCGTCTCGTATACTTCTGCCAGGTATTGCTGCTGGGTGGCTGCTCGGCGGAGATTCCCGTTCAATACATAGTACTGGATGGCGGATGAAAGCACGCGGACGGCGTCTTCGGGGTCTGACTTGCGGTAGACTTTGAAGGCCTCCTGCAATGTGTTGGCGGAGTCACCGGGTTCATTCAAGTTTTGGGTCTGGATAGTGGCAGCCTTTTCAAAAGCTTGACCGGCTTCCTTGTCTGATTCATCCCAAAAGGTATTTTTTTTTAGTAAGGACGTCAAAAATTTGGGGTGCACATTCCCCGCAGAGAGATGAGGGGTGCGTACTCAGCTTTTGGATTCGGAATGCATTGGCGGCCTGTGTGTATAGATCTGCTGCGTTCTCATATTTCTCAGTACGGCCGCCGAAGAAACTGAAGCCGCCTGAAGCACCTTGAAGCGCTTTCTCGGCCTGGAAGGAGCATGATGTTAGTGATCACTATTGATAGCGGGGCGGTAGAAGCAGTGGGCAACTGACTTTCTGGAGGAGGGCTCGAGGATCTGCAGTCATGTTGACAAGTCCCGAGGTATTATAGCAAGAAGTAGTGTAAGGAGGATATAGCGTTAATATCAAAAAGACACGTTGAGAGTTCAGGTTATCTCAAAAAGTTGCTGGAGGAACTGGGCTGCTCGCATCGTCGTCACTGCCAAGACCCCATGAGCTCCTCAGCCGGGCGGTGTCTGGCTGGTGCCTCCGGGTTCTCCAGCATTTTCCCCCCGACTTACCTTGAGTATATATCCCTCTCATCTCACTCTGTTATTGCACTCTATCAAACACAATTGTATTCTGGCGAGAGAAGAAATATAGATCTATTCTCTATTTTTTTTTCCTGATATCCCATCACAATGCTTCGACGCGCAGCTTCTCGCCTATCCTCTACACCTTGCTCAAGCCTACGAGTCAACCGGCTCACATCTCGATACTATTCCTCAAAACCCGATGATACCGATATCGAGTCCATGCTCGCGAAGCCAACATGGTCCGTCCGTTCTTTACTTCCTGACCCTGGCGCGCGACCGTCTTCCCCGACCGTCACACCTGCCCAGCTTAAGCACTTGCTTCGTCTATCAGCTCTTCCCCAGCCGTCTAGCCCGGCGGAGGAACAGCAGATGCTTGAGACACTTGAGTCTCAAATCCACTTCGTAAGAGAGATCCAGAAAGTAGACACTACTGGGGTTGAGCCTCTGCAGAGTATCCGGGATGAGAGCCCAGAGGCAGTGAAAGAGAACACTATTGGGTTAGAGCAGCTGAAAGAAGCCCTGTCGAAGGAACGAGTCATTGGCCGGAATAAGAAGATTCAGCGCATGGAATCGGCAAGAAATGACCGTCCTGATGGTGATGCTTGGGATGGCAATGCGCTTGGTTATGCTTCCAAAACAAAGGGGAAGTTCTTCGTCGTTGATACCGCCAACTCCTAAGCTATTGGACGATTCCAATTGTCACACTGCATGCTTCCGAGAGACACGGGCGGAATTAACAAGTCTCGCCCTATTGTTTCACCGGCATATTGTCGTCAGAACCCGCGCTGATCCAGTGTTTGGGGGCTGCTGCTGCCTGCTCCAAGTACTTCAACTTGTCTTGTTGCGTCACTTGGCTGAGTCATCGCCTTCACATGGACCGCATCGATTCAACCACTCGCTTATCCCTCCTCCAACAGCCCATCGAGGGCAGCCTTGTATCTTGGTCAATTAATTTTAAAATAGGATATCTCTGTATCCTCCATGTGGAAGAAACTCAATAACTCCTTTGGGTCGGGGCCCAAGGAGGAGTCGAACAGCGACCAAGACCTAACAACAATTCTAAGTCGACCGCAGCGGGCGGACCTTACAGTTCTCGTCGCTGAGATTACGCAGCGCATGAGGAGCTTGATTGAAGAGACCTTCAAAGCGCCAGCTGAACAGCACCCAAAAACTTCCGTATCCAGCCAGTTGATTGATCTGAACGAGGGGGATAGTGACGCTCCACTTCCAAATACGACGGAATTAAAGAAATCAGAGGACGACCATGTCCGCACAGAATATGTTCCAACGCCCGAAGATTTCAAAGCTGAAGCGAACCTCTTGACCCAATTCGACGACTGGAGAGACAGCGTTCTTCTTCGGGTCGGTGAAATTGTCAATCGAGACGCGGAAGACAGGGATGCAGAAGCAAGCTCCGAACAACAGGATGAGGAACGACCTCGAAGCTCGTATGACGACGATGATGATCCCTCTTGGAGCCGACTTTCCGAAGTTTATCATCGGGTAGAAACACCGTTGATCCACCTTCCCAAGCCCAAGAAGTTGTTGATCTTGCACTCTCTACTATTGTTAATGCTTAGTTTGGAACATTACAGTGCCAACTCTCGGGTTTTGATGCTGTATGCCGCTTCCAGCCTAGGCTTGGGTGTTAAGACTCTGAACCAAGATGAAGTCAAGGTGTCGCGAGGGCTACTAGACGCCGCTCTTCAAATGCCAGCGAATGCCGACGCTCAGAGTAAAGGCAGAGAAAGCGACCCATCAAGGAAATGGAAAGTCGGTATTGCATCTGTTGCTGGAGCCGTATTGATCGGTGTTACTGGTGGACTGGCGGCGCCTTTTATTGCAGCTGGTCTAGGAACAGTAATGGGTGGGCTTGGATTGGGAGCTACTGCTGCTGCAGGCTACCTTGGCGCCGTTGCAGGCAGCGGAGTCATCGTTGGTGGTATCTTTGGGGCTTATGGTGGGCGTATGACAGGGCGCATGGTGGACAAATATGCCCGTGAGGTGGATGATTTTGCCTTCTTGCCTATTCATGGTTCTCGTCACCGGTTTGATGACGAAAAGGAAGCAGCTCAGGAGGATCATCGCCTTCGAGTTACGATTGGTATTACGGGATGGCTAACAGAAGAAGACAACTTTGTCGTTCCATGGCGTGTTATCGGCAAGGATTCTGAAGTGTTCGGCCTCCGCTGGGAAACAAAACCCCTTTTGAGTCTTGGAAATGCCATCGATTCCTTAGTTACTTCCGCAGCCTGGGCAGCTGGCCGTCAGGTCTTAACCAAAACAATTTTTGCTGGCCTTTTGAGCGCGCTAGTCTTGCCCATGGGCCTTATGAAAGTCGCCGGCATTGCTGACAACCCTTTCAGCGTTGCCAAGGCTCGATCTGACAAGGCGGGTGAAGTTCTTGCCGACGCTCTGATTAGCAAGGTACAAGGCGAGAGACCTGTTACGCTTATTGGGTACTCTTTGGGGTCCCGCGTTATCTACTCATGTCTTCAAACTCTGGCCAAAAGACATGCATATGGACTAGTTGAGACAGCAATTCTTATGGGATCACCAACACCATCCGATACACCCGACTGGCGTTGCATGCGACGTGTGGTTAGTGGACGACTTGTCAACGCTTATTCAGAAAATGACGCTGTGCTTGCTTTCCTATATCGAACAAGTAGCCTTCAATATGGAATTGCCGGGCTACAGCCTATCGAGAACGTCCCCGGCGTCGAAAACCTCGATGTGAGCGATATTATAAGTGGTCACCTCCGCTACCAGTTCCTACTTGGGCGGATACTGCGCACAATAGGACTTGAATGTATCAGCGCCCGGGAAGTCGCACGCGAGGAGCAAGCTTTGGCTATAAAGGATCGACAACAGGAACAGCAGCGAATCCAGAATGAGCGCCGAGCTGGAATTGAAGGGGATAGTGAAGCAGCGCGCAGGAAGCTGGAAAGCGGCGAGATTGCTGTTGAGCAGCCACAGCTACAGCCACGGGTAGAAGCTCGCCATAGCATTCCAAGACGTCCTGTTCCATCTAGGTCTGTTGAAGAGAACAATACTGGGCGAGAGCAGTTCTAGTCCATTCCGCCGTCATCAGGCCTGCATATGAGCGAGGTGAATTTCATGGTTTTAATATGCAGTTGCGCTTTGGGCACATTACCTACGATATCTGTATAGTTCACAGGATACTATAAACCTTCAATCCGCATCTGATTTATTTGTGAATTGCACGCTGTAAACTCCTTTTCCGTATCCCAGCTATTTCAAGCCCCTCATAATCCGACGAAAAATACCAAATTAAGACAGCAAAAGAGAAGGATAGATACAGATATACGAAGTGGAATGTGTCGGAAAGCTCATAATGAGTTTTGTACGCAGATAATGCAAGTGAAAGCGCCTGAATGGGAAAATAAAATAAAACGAAACCAATCTATGAATCACTCCTCCGTAACTTCCTCAACACGGGGTGCTAGGTCACGCTTTACTGGACCAGATGTGTCTGCGCTTGCAGTTGCAGTCGTAGTTGCCGTTGGAGCCGACTCCGCAGCCTGGGCAGTTGGAGCCTTCTTGGACTTCTTCTTCTTCTTTCCAGTCTGATAGATATTTGGTTAGTAATCGTTGAGAATTCAAAAACGGGAAAAACATACCTCTTGCCATCCCCATGTGGGCTTGAAGCTATCGAAGAAACCGACATCTTCGAAAAGATTGGGGAAGAGCCAGAGACCAGGGGGTACCGCAAAGACGGTGATACAGAACAGAATAAGACGAAATATAGCCATGGCGAAGAAGAGACCAAGGAGGCCCATCATGCCTACACTCAAGTACCACACTCCTTGCCTCAAAACCATGGGCCAAAGAGGGAACAGTACGACCGCAAATATTCCGGCCACTACGGCAGCAGCCATTGCCTTCTGTTTCCATTGCGGGCCCTCATACAGCCAGACGTAGTGCATCATCGGATCGGCTTCCTGGTGCTGCTCGATTTTCACTGTCCATAGTCCCTTGACTCTCTTCGCCTTGCCATGGTTGTGGCCAGCATGAGGATCGACCTTCGAGACTCGAAGGGCAAGAATGGATAAGGGGAGGAGCTTGAATACGTTTTCAGCCGAGGCGCGGTCGGTCACTGGCGGCAGGAGAGCGTTCTTCTTCTGAGCTTTCGCATATGCAGGTGATTCAAGGGCACGGATTGCACGTTTCACTAGAAATCCAGCAAATTAGTAACATCGACACCAATCGTTGTAGGCCATCAAAAACCTACCCTTGAACATATCTTTCCTTTGCCCGTCCATGATGCATGTTCTCGGCTTCAGGTTTTGCGATTGCAGGAATTGCGCAACTGCAATCGCCTTGGGATCCTTTGGATTGTTTGGATTAACAGGAACCTGTTGCGTGTGCGCCTGCGGGCCTTGACCGGGCTGTCGAGGCTGACCAGGTTGACCTGGTTGACCTGGCTGTCCCGAGCCCTCGCCCTTGGCGTTGAGTTGCCGTTGAACCTCGGCGGCCTTCTGCTGGGCAGCCATTGCACGCATCCTGAGTTGCGCGACATATTCCTCAGTCGATACGCCATGTTTTGCGGCTTCAGCATTTAATTGCTCGCGCTGTTGTTTGGCAAAGTCTTCGGGGGTCATTCCTCGCTTGGCCGCCTCAGCAGCGAACTGCTGCTGCATAGCGGCCAGCTGCTGGGGGGAAGGTTGGCCGGGGGCGGCCATCTTGAAGTGAGAGCGGAAGGTAGTTGAGATGGGAGTCCCAGCTAGATAGAGTGAATGTGAGTAGCGGAAAACGAGGGAGAGTTGTTTGAGGCTGAGGGTGAGGTGGTCATAAACGAAGTGGCCAGATAAGAGGGACAAGAAAGGGCATCTCGCTCACCGCCTTGGCAGGCCTCCGCATCGACTCACCAGCCTAGCGGCTTGCAGCGTGAACCGCCCCTTACAGCCACACGTCGGACTTTCGCTCTCTATCGCGCATCATTAAGTAATGCTCATGGGACGGTCTTATGCCGTGCATACAGCACAAGCCTCCCTGCATATCCAATATTCTGCATCTTCATGTCCCTGAAGTTTGATCCGGATGATTCCCTCTTGAATGCGTCCTGGGCCACTGTTCTTCTGGTCAGTCTTGAGAATGCGATGCGAGTACCGCTTACGCTAATTCCTCCAGAGCGAACGAGATGTAGCTGGCCAAGTCCCTATCAACTTTGTCACTACTTCGGCTATATCTTTGCGGGCAGCGTGCTTTGGCGACAACAAGTTCGGACGGGCAGCGGGCGGAAAATGCCTATCTAACTTGCTTGCTATCGGCTACCGGCGTTTCAATGTCGATCTATATTGGTCGCCGGACCATTCGCGTTGGATTCTATGCCCTGTTTCGATCCCCCAAAACCTGCATGTTGTGACAACGACCCCTGGCGCTTCTCCAACCGCAACTGCAGAGGCTGCCCAGGGTACGGTCACGGTGGAATCGGACGAGTCGACGGGGGATATACTTTATGATCTTGGCCCCTATAAATGCTCAGATGGGCTGGATCTAGTGGATGTGCTGGATATTTTCCACGATTACTTCCGGTATACTGATACCGATCTGGTGATGTATACGAGATACCTATCCTTAAATCTCCATGCCGCCGCCGACCCCGCAGAAGCGGGCTCTCCCGCATCGTTTGTTGACAGCGGACAGCTTCCAGCCAAACGGGATCGTGTCAGTTCAATATTGGACGAACAGCTCGGATCATACATCTATGGTCCGTCCAGTTTGTTTAAGGATCGCCGTAACCTGAATGAATCTTGGTATGAAGTTGACGAGACGTATAAACCTATCGTTGAATATTTCACCATTGAGAAAGACCCGGGTGGTGTGCAAAGCACGCCAGATGGGTGGCCTAGCATGAAATTCATCCAACTGGCTGCCGAAAAACGGCTGCTGGTTGAATATGGCTCAATTGATCCCCAGCTTAGCAGTTATGATCTCTCGCAAGAAAACGATGTCATATTTTCTCCTGGTTATATGACTTCTACTATACCCGTCAGCGCCGGCGATGATGGAAGTCTAGATACTGGCTGCTTATACAATCCAAATACAACCGATGTGTCCAGAGTCAACGCATCTTGGGCATTAGCAGACCATATCCCTATTCCGCAAACCCTTAGCGATCAGTCACTTCTGAATGTCTCGGACCTAATTGTGAACCTCACGCAATGTGGAATGACGGCCACTCTCAACCAGACCCTGTTCGGCCTTACTGCGGACAACAAGCCAGACCCATACCGCAACCTTACTTTATCATCCTCCTGGGCGTGGACCCTAGGCGAACCTGCAGCGCGGCCCTCCGACCTTGACTACGCCGAATCGGACGACAAGCGTTGCGCCGTCATGGACCTCACCCTCGATGGACGATGGCGCACCGCAAACTGCAGCGAAACGCACCGCGCCGCTTGTCGCATAGACAATCAACCATACCGCTGGGCTCTCTCCACGGACGCCTTTACATACCACGACGCATACGACAACGCCTGCCCATCACCCAGGCAATTCTCAGTGCCCCGCACAGGTCTCGAAAACACATACCTATTTCGCCATTTGCTCTCTTTGTCACCAGGACTTGTTGACCCTGCATCTTCTGACCCGCTCAAGCGCGAGGTTTGGATCGACTTCAATTCCATCGATACGGAAACCTGTTGGGTAACTGGTGGTTCTGAAGCCAAATGCCCTTATACATCGGATCCAGACCAGCTTGAAAAACGCACAGTCCTGGTTGCTGCTATTGCTGGTATAGTTATTTGCATAATTGCCGCTTTGACGTTGTTCGTCAAATGCAATGCCAATCGGCGGAACTCGAGGCGGAACAAGAGAGTTATTCAGGGTTGGGAGTATGAAGGGGTGCCGTCTTAAATGGCTATGTCTGGCAATGACACTATTCTTAAGCTTTACTTATGCTACAGCTCGACTGAGTAATTCCGGTAGGCAGCAAAGTCCGTAGAGTTAGGTATCATGGTATTTATTCCTAAGCTATCAGCCCTAATTTACTCCAAACAGTTAAGTACAAAATGGCAAGTGAGTATCACAAGGAAGATCCGAATCCCATCCCACCCTATCCTATCCTATCCTATCCCATCCATCATCATGAATATCTCATCTTTCATCCAACGCATTATTCCGGTGTCACATGCAAGTCCATAAAAGCTTGTTTTGTTCCTCCATTTCTTCCATTTAGTTAAATCGAGACCCAGATATCACATATCATAGCCCAGCGAAGCGAGCCCATCCAGCAGCCCTGGGCGTAGAGTTGTTGGTCTTAGGGCTATCGATACCGCCTCGGCCCTCTTCGGCCATCTTCCCGCTAACATCACGTCTTCTTCCAACACCGAGGTTCGCGATATAATTTCCGTAGGACAAATCTGATCTTTGACCAACACGACGACCGAAGTTGGCACCCGAATTACTCACAACACGGCCCTTGCGGTCTCCTTCGGCCACGCTAGGATCAGTAAGCGGGGAAGTCTCATGGTCCTTTGCGCCATCTTCATCGGGCTGCTTAAGGGCGCCATATGAATTTTGCTTATTAGTCTTGCGTTTGGAAGATTTGGTTTTCTTTCCGGACTTCAAGTTAGCACCAGTAGTAGCCATTCCATCTGGTTCGCCATAGAACTGCCCATCTTTCTCGGGGCGCTCGAGAGGGGGTACTTTTTGCGCAGGCGGTGTTGGGGATAGGTTAGGAATATCACCGAGGACCATACGACTAGGCGTTCTTTTAGGCTGGCTTGAAGTATCGAGGGTAGGCTGAGGGGTTGGCGGGTTTAGTCCAAGCGGATTGACCTTGAGGGCATTCGATGTATACTCCTCGTCGCTGTCTCCATTGTCCTGGTAAATATCAATGCGGTGATCCCCAATGTCATGCTCGTCGCCCTCATCATGGTCGTATAATCCATTTTTGCGTACATTGTGATTATCCTCCTCATTGCCGTAATATTCATGCATAGCCAAAGACTCGTACTCGCCACGAACATCTTCTGATATGGTTTCGCCGATATCCCATCCATATTTCTGAGCAATTCCCATCCAGTCGACCACGCCATTTGCAGATGCGGGTGTTTCCGATCTGCTGTAAACGGATGATGGTTCGCGGTGAGCTTGCCCCTCATTTTTTGCGTCGTCAGCCAGAGAAACGGAACGTGACGAGTACGCAACCCAGTTGTCTGAGGCAGGACTAACACACTGAGAGCGAGTGGGTACTTCCGGAGACGGCTGGCGCATCGGAGTACTAGAAGGGATTGAAGAGGTAGGACGGGCCTCGAAGTGTGTGCCGTGCAGTGGTATCTCGTACGTTTCCTCGAGGGTATTTTCTCTGTACTGGAAGGGCATTTGCGGTATGGAAGTTTGCGAACCGCCCCGTTGTTTGGACATATCGACAGGAGGGCGTAGTGTATTGTCCTCTGAAGATTTAGCCCTCGTGTGCGTAAACGGAATCGTGCGAGGTGCACTAATCAAGGGCTGTGCAACCGAGTGAGTGGAATCGAGCGTAGAACTGCTGACATGTTTCTCGGCAATCTCCGATTTAGTCCTCTTGTGAGGACGGGCCGTCAAGTTGTCTTCTAGGGGGTTGAGGTCCGGGGGTAGCCGCGCAATCTGGCGGAAGATGTTGAAGAGGAAAGCGGATAGGACAAGAGAAATTAAGTGAATTCCTCCATTGATAACCGCAAGATAAAATGTCGACTGCGCAATCTTGATGATGACCTCGGGATCAGCGCTCAAGAGTGTCTTCCAGCTATATGACGCCTCGGCGTTAAACTCTTTATACCCCAAATAGGCCGTAAACACATAGAAGGGAATTAGACCCAGGTCTAGCGTTGAGGCGAACAGCATGTAGCTGGCTTGCGAGCCCGGAGGCCTGGTAACCGGGGAGCGGCATAGGTGGTAGATGGCATAAACAGTGTGGAGAATTGCTATCGCGGGCTTGAATAAGTTAGTAACAATTCCAATTGACACCATTGTATTCCCGACTTACCGCGACCCGAATAATCCATACAATGGATGTCGCAATATTCTGGATGACGATGGCACAGAATAAGGAGCCAAGGGCGCCAATCAACGAAAGAACCCGTAGCCCGAGTTGTATCCTCCGACCATAAAGAACATTTCCCTTTGTCCTTGGACTCATTGGAGACCAGCGTGAGCGGCCATCGGGAATGTTGTAGTACTACGCCATTGTCTCTGTTAGCATGGATTCAGCTGTCATTCAAAGAGATCTGTAGTGACATACCGAGTCTGGGTGTCGGTTGAAATTAACCAGTGGTCCTTTCTGCTTCTTTTTAGGCGGTGGCCGAGCCCAGCTCGACTGCGTCACGGCTTTCGGATTGAAAGCATGATCTGTCGGTCCCTTGAAGCTAAAGGCATCAGGGTGGCCGTAAAGGAACGGGGGAGATGAATTCCCCATGGTCGCAGCGAGAGGTCTTCAGCAAAGAATGCCTTCACCCACGCGACAGCGGGGGAAGGAGCGGAATGCGCACAGGCAGAGAATCGATTCTGGAAAGAATGGAAGAATGAGGATGGAATGGTCCTATTCAGAAGGCGTATGCAGATAATGACGGTGTAAATGAGAGAACGAGCATGGGCAGGGAAAGTTGCTAAATCCCCGACTCCTCGTGCATGCACCACGGGTTCTCTACAGACAAGACAGGTTCGAGTGGAGAGACGGAGACTTTGAACCAGACAATCGTCTCGATTGACGGGGATGAGGCTGAACTCGAATAGGAAGTGTCAACATCCAGCTCACGTGGTCGCCCCAGCAACCGATAACAGATAGAGCGGGCTATCGATAATGGTCACGTGCCCCACGTCATTTGAGTCAGTCACTACCTCGGTTTCTGTTCTTCATTTACTTCGACATTGCACGAGATGGGCTTCACACGGGCGCCATATATATGCGCGCAATGCACTATTCGCTTTTCCCACCCTTTGCGGCCTGTGCCCCGTCGGGCCTTCCCCCCATTACGGCTACAACGCCGTGATATCAGCCAAGCGGTCCAAGCCGAGCGACCCTTCCGAGTAGCCATTGTAGGCTCAGGTCCGGCTGGCTTTTACGCAGCATACCGTCTACTAGGCAAGGTTGATGATGCGGTGGTCGATATGTATGAGAAGCTGCCCGTCCCGTTCGGTCTCGCGCGGTATGGAGTAGCCCCGGACCACCCGGAAGTCAAGGTTTGTGATACCGAGATACTTGGACCCAGGGAACTCTATGGAGAGCTGATATTAAGAGTTTAGAACTGTGAAGAGAAATTTACAGAAGTTGCTGAATCTCCGCGCTTCAATTTCATTGGAAATGTTGAGTTGGGGGAAACCCTACCTCTTCAAGTGCTTAAACCCCACTACGACGCCATTCTATTCGCGTACGGTGCACCGAAGGATAAGAGACTTGGAATACAGGGGGAAGACGCATTGCACAGCGTATACTCTGCGCGAGAGTTTGTTGGATGGTATAACGGTTTGCCGGAGCACCGAGATCTTGCCCCGGACCTTACCGCGGGAGGGGATGCGGTGATTATCGGCCAAGGCAACGTCGCTTTGGATGTGGCTCGGATATTGCTGTCGGATGTGGATCGCCTTCGTCAGACTGATATTGCCGACTATGCTTTGGACGCACTATCTCGCAGCAAGATTAATCGAGTTCGGGTAGTAGGGCGTAGGGGTCCTTTGCAGGTACGTTCAATATTCTTGTTTCAATTATCAGCTATCCTAACTCGTTTTTATCAATAGGCATCTTTCACTATAAAAGAAGTCCGTGAGCTGCTACAGCTCCCAGGTGTATCATTTGAGCCTATTCGTCGAGAGCTGTTTCCACCGGAAGATGTCATTTCGGCTCTTCCCAGGGCCCAGAAACGGCTAATCCAGCTTTTGGCCAAGGGGTCCACCAATGACCCTACCACCGCCACCAAGTCTTGGTCTCTTGATTTCCTACTGTCACCGGAGTGCCTTAACTGGTCCCCCGTCGCCCCATACCGCTTGTCCCATGTACGCTGCCATCGCAACGAGCTCGACCCTGAGAATCCATTCTCCCCAAGCTCCAAGGTTACAACAAAGTACCTCTCCAGCGGCAAAGAGGCAAAAGTTAACCTTCCCGCCAACACCTTCTTTCGCAGCGTTGGGTACAAGTCTCTTCCTTTACCCGGACTAGGGGACCTAGAGGTGCCGTTCGACGACAGCCGCGGGGTAATTCCGAACGATGGCTTCGGCCGGGTCACTGTCCCTTTGACTACCGAATCCGGGACCCATGACAAACTCCCAGACGGATCCGTGATTTCCCACCTACCAGGGCTATACTGTGCTGGCTGGGTTAAGCGCGGGCCGACGGGTGTCATAGCCACAACGATGACCGACGCGTTCAGCACAGCGGACGCCATCGCAGCCGATGTATCAAAGAGCGGCAACTCGTTGCTCAACGCCTCCCACGAAAGGACAGGCCTTGGATGGGAGGGCGTCCGCGCCGAGGCTGAACAACTCGGCGTTCGCGCAACGAGCTGGGAGGACTGGGAACGGATAGATCGAGCTGAGCGTGAGCGGGGATCACAGAATGGCAAGATACGGGAGAAGTTCGGACGGGTAGAGGAGATGCTGGGGGTATTATAATAGACGCCACTCTAAGTGCTATATCATAGACATAGATGACCACTGTATAATAGGCTGGAATTTGTTCTCCTCTGACTCAAAAGAGCCACCCGTTTCAAGTCCCTGCTGCCTACCCCAAAAGTCTACCTAAACTCTGGCCTGACTCGACATGGATAAGCCTAGCTGTTTTGCGAGGGAGCATGAACAGCCAAGGACAGTCCATGAATCTACAAATCATTTGATTAAATCGGCCATTCGCAGCCCTAGACCTGGGACGTGATACCTGGATATCCTACGAAGACCGCATGTACCGAACCTCGCTGCGCATGAATCGCAATCGCCGTGTGCTTACTTCCGCAAAGAACTCATACGGGTAAGCCGGTTGGCAACGCTTGTTCTAGGCGGATAAGACATTTCAGTATGGAATAGATCGTTGTCTAGAACGGCGCGGTATTGGCTCAGTATCCCAGCTGGTGAGATTCAATTACAGGTTGAGAAACAGAGAGGTTCCAGATAATGCAAGTCTAATTATTAACCAATTATTAAGGAGTGTGGCTGAAGTACTTCATAAGCGATGCAAATATTAAAAAAAAAGAAAAGAAAAGAAAAGAAAAAGAAAAAGAAAAATGCTGAACATCCCGACATAATCCTAGTTTTCATGATATCTCACCACATTCCCAGGCAAATGGAAATGCAGCAACGCAGTGCAATGCAATCTCAGAGCAGAAGCGAAGAAAGATGAAAGTCTCTCTCTCTCTCTCTCTCTCTACTTGCGAGGAGTCAATCCACAGCTTTCCCGGCTAACCTGGGTCCAAGTCACATCTACACGACCGAGCTCCACGGCGCGGTTTCCAGTCAGCTGGTCCATGGCCCGCTGGCCAACGTTGAAACCACCGGGAGAGGCGTCGATTCCGATCATGGTGATTGAGTTGCTGGCGCCGGTGGCGGAGGTGTATGTGACCTGGTAGCAAGCACCGCATTGTGGGCTGTTGAATCCAGCGATGGTAGGTGTGCCTCCGATGAGCGGGAAAGTTGGGAGGGACTGGAAGTTGGTGAAGCCTTCAGTGATCAGGCCGAAGTCACCGGTAGAGCAGGAGACATCGTTGAGAGAGGTTCCCCCGACGTCATAGCGGGGGTCGTAGGAGAGGCTAGAGGAGCCGGAAGACTGGCGGCGCTCAAGACCCGATGGGGCAGCAAAGGTGAGGGCTGCGGGGAGGATAGAGAGAAGAGTGGTTGAGAACTTCATTTTGGCAGAGTTGTTTGAGGTTGTAGCTGTGTCTTGGTATAGAAGAGTGATGTTGATAATGATGGAGTTGGCAGGGGCAGATGAAGTATTTATATTGCCATCCGGCCTCTGAGTGAAAACATTCACAACTCTCTTCCGGCCAACTCCCGGCTTGCAGGTAGCAATTCAGTCATCCATCGAGGCCTAGACAGCTGTGGCTGCAAGCTCACAGTCCGCCTAGCCGTGCGACGTCATAAGTTGGCCGTGAGAAGAGACCAGGAGCGGGGACTGCCCAGCAGCAGACGAAACCAGAGCAATGGCAGATCGAAGCGATCCGTGCCGAGTGAGACATTTGAACAGGATAGATGAATGATCAGCGCATCGGCTGACAGAGTCGGACACAGACAGGCGGGCAGTGCAGACTCCAACTCGGGTATCGGACGACTCAGTGAGACATGCTTATTTTTGGACGAACGGTGCATGTTTCTGCTGCCGATCAGCGCGGGGAAGGCTGCTTGAAGCGTCTAGGTCGCCTAATTGCAGCAGAATCTGCAGCCTGGTTACGTGCGAGACATGGTGGTATCCCAGAGTTACTTTGGGCAGCTTTCTATCCGCAGCAGAAGGTTTCTATTGACATTCATTTCTCCCTAATGGGGACTCGGAATCCGCTTAAAATAGACCAAAGCCTGGATATTTTTACCGTCCCCGCCCTCGCCTGATTGGCCAGGCTGTAACTATGAATCCAGCCTTATGCCGGACATGGGCTGGAATGTAAACAATCTTCCATACTTTGGTTCCAGCGACTCCTTCACTGTCCACACCGCATCTCAGCATCCAGTCATTATCCACCACGCATATCGGAGCATCCCAAATTCAGCCCCGCTGTCTGACAAAACATAGTTGGGCAACTAAAGCAATCACTGAAGAAAGTAAGTCTTCAGTGCTCAGCCTTATGAAGTTCGAGAATCTGTAGTTCGCCGCTTGGAGACCTCAGACTGCTATGGCCCTGGAACAATGACCCATCATTTCCTCCAGCGAGGACTCCAGTAATCACTGCAGCTTCCTATCCTGCCAGTCTCCATCGTGTCTTCCATTATAATCGTATCATATCACATCCTATTGCCCAAATAGGCAAGAGCACCTTATAGTGCTGAGCGTTGGCTGAATCCCTGCAGGCCCATAGCTCCTTCCCATTGCAGTCATTCCATCTTGTAGGTAAGAGGAAGGAACGATGGCCATTGTGATATGGATGTCCACCCCTCCTTCCACAACCGATCCTTTCGCAATATACACTCTCGGGATAGTCTTGAATAATACGAGTTTCCAGGTATATTCCAACAACACAACAATGTGGCGGTATATATTTTGTGCAACCTACAGCTGTATCCATCATTTGTTTCCTCAGGCATTGAATTCCTCCTCTGTCATGCGCTCGACTAACTGGTAAGTACGGATGACGTCACCCATATATATACTTCGCATCAACTCTATTCTAGATAGACGTTTGAAAGACTCCATTGATCAAAAGTCACGATAAAACATTGATAGCCCTTGGTAGTTCGTATATTCATTACTGATCCAAAATACCAGGCAGCCGAAGGCTGGGAATAGTACGGTAGGTAGCACGAAGTGACATCGCGATGACGGCAAACCCATAGCAGAACAACGTCAAGCTCTATCATCAACGCTGATTCATCCGATTTTCCACTTCTACTTAGCAGCATTCATCCCCAAGCTGTACTGGATTGCTCTGGCCAGGTCGTCGACGGATACGTCACCCTGAAGCCACACACAACCACACCTCCCTCAACCATTATAAAACCATCAATCAATCTACTGCCATCCCTAAACCTTATTTTGCAGTAGCAGATAGCTATGCTCCGCTCCCTATTCAGATCACCAAAACCGTGCAACCCTCTTATCCAAACAATACAGCCCCTTCCTTACTTCATTCCCTCTCTATACAATCCATACAAAGCCAACATCCCAATTTGCAACAACAACAACAACAACAACAACAAAACCCGCCCCGTCACATCCAAAACAAAAGCCAAAATGGCCGCAAAATCCAGCAACGAGCACTTCAGGCTCGAGAACCTCTTCAGCGTGAAAACCAAGGTCGCACTGGTCACAGGCGGCGGGTCCGGGATCGGGCTGATGGCCACACAAGCGCTCGCGAAGAACGGCGCAAAGGTTTACATCACCGGCAGAACAGAGGAGAAGCTCGACCGGGTGGCTGACCTTTACAACTCCAACGTGGATGGCGAGATCATCCCCATCACCGCAGACGTGACGGATAAAAAGTCTATCGACAAGCTCGTTAAGGAGATCGGGTCGAGGGAGAAGTATCTCTCGATCCTGGTAAACAACGCCGGCGTGAGCAGTGCCACGCAGACGGTTGAGCACGAGGACCCAGAGAAGCTCCGCAAGGCGCTATTCGAGGATGCATCGAGCAGCATGGAGGAGTGGGACAAAACGTACCGGACGAATGTGGTGCAGTGTTTCTTCACGACGACGGCGTTTCTGCCGCTGCTGCAGAAGGGGTCGGAGGTTGAGAAGGGATGGTCGAGTACTGTTGTGAATATCTCGTCGATCTCAGGGATAATCAAGGCATCGCAGCATCATTTCGCGTATAATGCGTCCAAGGCGGCGACTATTCATTTGACTAAAATGTTGGCGCATGAAATTGCCAGCTCCAATTTGAGAATTAGGGTGAATAATATTGCGCCTGGCGTGTTTCCGAGTGAGATGACGGCCGGAGAGAGCGACGAGAAGCAGAAGAGTGCGATTCCGAAGGAGAAATACGAGCAGAAGGTTCCAGCAAGAAGGCCGGGCAAGGATGAGGATATGGCGAGTACCGTGTTGTTTACGGTTGCAAACCAGTATTTGAATGGGCAGACCATTGTTGTTGATGGAGGTTATGTGCTGGCAACGGGAACTGTCTAATTAACTCTTGTATCTATCTATATATGTACGTGGTCAAAATAAATTGCAGTTGCATATCGATCTATTATCCATTTCTATACCCATACCGCAATCACCAGTCCCTAAAAGACCAAAAAGAATTGAGCATCAATATTTATATAGTATACAATTCCCTATAAAACACGAATGTTGAATGCAAAACCAAAAATGCAAACGCATACAGCGTGGGATATCTCGAGGAATGAATGGATCACTCACAACATATCAAATGCGTGAACGGAGACAAATGAGACACAAATTAAAAATGTGGTATCATGCGAGAAACAACGACAAAAAAGAAAAGAGGATCCGAGGAAAGGAAAGGATATGAGTGAACGCTAAGTCGCTGCAGATATGCATGCTATGTGATTTTTATCCGAGTCGTGACGAAGGAATGGGATTCACCGAGAAAGAGACGATGTTGTTCGGAAATGTTAGATGGAGTTAACCTTGCTGATTATGTAGGCTCAGGTTATATCATGTTGTCCATGTGACGGGACGTAACCCTTCGTGCGGTCCGTGAAGCCGCCATGGGGTTGACGGCGTCCAGAGCCTTTCCATCTGGAACGGGGGATATTGGCGGAGAATTCTCAGGCCATGCAGATCGCTGAGACGGTTCAACAAAGGCCGATGGAATCTTTGGTAAGGGGCAATTTGGCGGAGGTGCGGTCGGGGGTCCGATGGTGAGTCCGTTAAGACTCTTCCGTCGTGACATGACCAAAGATGAAGGTCGGCTTGCTGGATCGGGCCTGCTTGGCTGATCACGACGGGTGGCCTCACCAGACGTTTTTGGGGGATGCAGCACAGGAGTAGGTACAATTGGCTTGCCGTTAACTGCGGCACCAGGGCGCGAGGAGTTGGACGCGCCAGATGGCATCGCAATATGCTCCGGCAGCTGCGAATATCGAAGACGGCTACGGTCTCGTTCCCGACTCAAGTTCCCAAGCGCATCCTCTGAATTCGATGAACGGAGTTGTTTCTTGATTTGTTCATGTCGATTTGATGGCCGGCGTTGGTCGCGAGCCTCAACTGGTACATTAAATCCGTCCCGACTTGGAGATTGTGGTGGGGATGAGAACAATGACATGGTATCTATTGAAGTATCATCCCGCTGATTCTCACCATTTGTGGGAGGCAAATGAGGGACCTGTGGGATATCTTGTCGAGCTGCAAATCTCTTGCTGAAGAAGGGTACACTGAAATTGGGCGCCGGGGGCGACGTGCTTCGAAAGTGTGCATCAGGAACCGTCGACTGTGCTCGAGGTATCTCAGCAACTTCCGAACTTGCCATCTGAGGCAGGAACATCGACTGTCGTTTTCTTGGAGTTGAGAACGTCGGGCTAGTCGGCCCGGTTACGGATGATGCTGTCTCCGAAATGACGCTGCCATCTGGAAGGGGAGGGGATCCAAGAGCAGAATAAAAGCGTCCTGGTTCTTCAGGATTGGACATGACCTCCGTTTGCGATGTAGACATCGACCATGAACGTGATTCGGCGGGTGGCTGCATAACCATCGACCGGCGATGGAGAGAAATATAGGAGCTCCGGTGAGACTGGTCACCGGCACTGGACTCTTTGTCCTCAAAGGTCATTGATTGTCGTGGCTGGAGGTAGACAGCTGAGAATCTGTTGGGATCCTTTTTGACCATCTGTCGCATGCTCGGTGTGGGCCGCAGCTGACTCTCCATGCCCTCGTCGTACACCTTTTCGGACACGTATTTTTTGCCGCCACGGGCCTCGATTTTTGCACGAACGGCCAATAACCAGGAGCTCATTTCTTCCGGGTCATTGAACACAAGCAGCAAATTCCGCGCCATTCGTCGAGCGTGGGACCTGTGGAACCCAAACCGTGAGAAGAGAGGCCTAGGCGTCTCGGGCGAATTTGTACTACTGTCCACCTCAGAACCCTGGGATACCTGTAGCACCCAATGCTTGCCCGGAATTGCATCGCTGGCAAATGCCACAGACTTCGGTCCAAGAAGAAGCATTTTCTCCGGCAACCGGTCGTGCTTGCCTTCGCCAGAGAACTGTAGAATATACCCGGATGTCGCAATGATATAAATTCTTTGAGTCCATTCACCCTTTTCAATGTTGTCAGACAGAGCACGTAAGTACCTTTGATTTTCCTTTTCGAGCTTCTTCTTTCGCGCCGTCAATTCTTCTGAAGGCTCTTCATTTGCCGGTTGGTTGACTTGCTTGTCATTGTCCCGGAGACTCGCCCCCCTTGCCTTGTGGGTGGCATGTAGTCGCATTATGGAATCGCCTGATAGGACTGGGGCTGGAAGAGTAGCATGTTTCAACCCTTGCGGATAAGCTTTAAACAGTGGAGGTGGTTTCCACGTTGCATCTTCAGCGGCAGGCGGTGAGCCTTCTTCGTCGGTCTTTGTTCTATGTTTCGCTTGCAACTTGGATTGAGGTGTGTTCGTCGCCTGGGTTGGCGTGTCCGGAGCGGGAGTGGAAGTCATGGTAGTCCGCGGTGTAATAGAAGAAGTTGGTGGCGGAGACAAGGGTGCTGCTGGCTCAGATGACGCCTGGCTTACCGGTAGCTCCTGATTCTCCTCGATGCCTGAAAGCTTAGCGTCGGTTGACTTCCGAGGAGGCTTTTCACGACTAAAAATATTGCGGAGACTAGGCCTGGAAGAGTGCCGTTTAACACGTGCCGGCTGTAAGGGAATCCGTTCTACCTTCTCGTTCTCCAAATCTGATGGCCGTTGACGTTGCGTAAGCGGAGATGCGACGTTGACTACCGAAGGGGCAGGGCGGCCGAAGTTTGTCTGTACTTGTAGAGGTGGTATTTGCTGACCCCTGCGCTCACTGACAGAAGGCCGAGAGGTGTTGTTGCTATTGAAGGACATCGCTTTGTCGTTGCTTCTCTCCAACCCCCAGTGGCGGGGATTATTTCAAGAGGCACGACGGGATTGGGAGGAAGATATATCGATGTTGATTTCGCACAACATGCGACGACAGTTGTGTAATGTATGGCCGTGAAACAATGGAGGGAGTGGTTGCGAGGTTCTGTAACGAGTGCCGAGGAAGACTGGATGATTCATTTGAGTAACAACATTCAAGGAGCGATCATATATTTCGTGACGGTGATGTTGGGGGGATTCTGGGCACAAAAAATATATAAGATAAAAGGTATACTGAGGGAGTGACCTTGAAGACAGGGCCGAAAAAAAAAAAATAATGAAAATTAAGGACAGTTGAGACCCGTTTGATTTGAAATTTCGAGGCTCATGCGTGCCGGATCGGATGCCTTCTGAAAAAGGAACGTGCACGATGCAATAAAACGTGGGCTCTGGCACGCGAATCGACGTACTCCGTATCGAGAACCAGTTCGATTACACGCCAGTTTCCAACAAGCCCATTATCATTGTTATTTCGTGTGACGGGAGTGAGAGAGCAGCTGAAGTAAAAAAACAAAACCGCTGCGGGAAGAAGGTCGGAGGAAAGAAAGAGAATGACGGGATGAGGATGAGGAGAAGGATGCGTGCATGCGACGTGACAAGGAAAAATCGGCCGCTCTCAGCCGGAAATGAAATGACTGGTCTGTTCTTTGTGCTGACATTACCAAGAGGTGCCCAATCCTCTCCACTGCTAGGTGCCGACGAGAACGAGACTAAATTACTTAGGGTTGTCTGAGATCAAGTTTGAAACTGTTCGCGAACCTCCCACGGATCCTTTGAGAACCGTGGGACCGCGGGCGCCGCAGAGGAAGATCTATGGTGGGAGTCATCATCGATTCATCGGACGCAAGTTTTTCGATTTGGTGTTCGAGATAAGATCAGGGGATGGAGACGCGAGTCCACTACTTCCTCAAACTTCATTGTTGTTTTGCACTTTTGGAAGAAACCTGAGTCGCGAAACCCCTGAATCAGCTCTGTCCTGCTCCACTTTAAATAACGGTTTTCCGTTGAGAGGAGTCTTAGTCTGTGTTAGTTGGTGACGATAATTTGGTTCCTCTTATCCAAACCAATGAGACCGAGGACGGTGCTGGAGCTGGAGGTCTGGCTTCCTCCGGACTCGTGGATCGGCTGTGAAAGGGGGGGATCAGCATCAGCCCAAGGTTGTCCATCACATTAGAAGTTCCACCTACCCTGACACTCGAAGACTCAGACAGGTCGACTCGCACACTGCCACGCGCTTCGAACTTCAACGTTCACCTGTCATTCTGTCATCTGGGATGACGGGCGACAGTCTGGGTGCAGCTGGCTTGCAGAACACTTCTCGAAGCTGTGATCGTCAACCGTCAACTGTCAAGTCAACCACGAGGTGTCGACCACGCGTTGTGAGCTGACTCATCGCATGCCGTCTCCGCTCCCCGGACTCTGCGCATAAATCATAAACAGTCAAACTTGCTATCACCAAGATACGTGTAAAATTAGTACTAATAATAACAGCGTACGAAAGATTAGGTTATTGGCTCAATTGCGGCTGTATAAGACAAGGGCCACATATTATGCCCCCGGCCCACACTTCAGGCCCTGCCCTTCTTGCACGGCGCCCATCAACTCTGCCGCCTGCTCACAGAACTGCGCCATTGAAACGTCCTTATCGGTTAGGCCTCGAGGATAGTGAGTAGTCCAGTGGACATCAACGGACCCGAATCTCTGTAGTCCATCATCAGCGCGCAAAGATCTTCTCTATCTACGTTGATTGCGTGAAAAATGGCATACTATTGTCATAGTGGCATGATGCTTCTTTGTGGAGCTTTGCGATGCGATTGCGTTTACAAAACTCTATCGTCGATCCAAATTAAATCTACATGTCAGCCCTTGCTGGGAAATGAAGATATCTCGAAACATGAAACCCACCACAGCCTTGAAGTACGATCGGAAATAGAAGGTTTTCTTGATGCCAATTCTCTCCTCATCCAATCCCCACCCTTGGCCCTGCAATTCATTTAGCAAGGGACGCAGCTGCTCGGCATTGATACCCTCGGCAAATTGAGGCTCAGAAGTCATTGTTGAGGCTTTGCGGAGTGTAAACCCGCCGGTTGGATGTGCTTGGTAGTAAACAGAGCTCAAAGGGCCTGATCGCAAATTTTGGGGGTGAAAGGCAAGCGAGTACTGGCGACTGCAAGCTGGACGCAGCTTGAATGACAATTTCTGCAGGTTCTGACAACGTCTGAGTGCGGGGTTCATGATTGGGGGTGGTTTGGACTGCCGGGGCAGGTGGAAGATGAGAGCTTCTTCCAATGATGACGCGGTATGCGATTCCAGTCGCCTTTTGTCACATGACCCCAGTCGCTACCTATTAACAACCGGGGCTGTCAAGTCATACTTTACTTGATCACGCAGATAAATACTACTACTGCTCAGTAGGTTACCGAAATGAAAGATACATATTAAGAAAGTAACTTAAATACCTAGAACCATTATGCAATTATCATTTCGCTATGAGCCACAGTGCAATCGAGCCATTGCCGGTATCTGGGAGAATCATAAAATGAATCGAAAACCACGGGAGCAAAACTAAATTACAGGTCAAAGAACTGATCTACTATGCGCCGATGGAGTACCAGGCAGTTCGCAAGCACCATGAAGCCGTACCGGTCCGCAAGATGAAATGCTGGAAGCAACAGCCGCTTTGAGAAAAGACATGAGACGAAATGAAATAAATATGGAACAAAGGCGTTCCCACCACAGAAATAGAGAGAAGCAGGGAAAAAAAGTGTAGGCGAGAAAGTGGTGTGGATCATATCAACCACACAGCCAGTTTAGATAACGAGGCAAGACAAGGTAAGTTTGCCTTAATTTTCGGATCCATGTGACAGCATTCAATTTTCATTCTTCGTTACCGTCGCGTTTGTTGAAGGCTGTCATACTTCTGCAGAGAAGCTTTGTCGTGCAGATGCATTGCGTGATGTAGGACGAGACGCCGCAAAGCTGTTCTGTCGGCTTCCCATGGTTTGACGAATGCGCAGGTTTTGTTGCGATCGCGCAAAAGAATTCGCCCTCGAAGACGTTGGGACACGAGACAGTCGGCCAGGGCCACCGTGCGTCTGCAGTTCAGCCTTTGCATCGGACAACTGCTGGGCAAAGGGCGACCGCTTGCGGAGTGTCGGGCCGTACCAATAAATGACGTAAACCGCGATGACCAAGAGGAACGAGATGCAGACTAATATAGTTAGTATTTTTGGTCGAATCTCGTGGAGTGTTAAGAACAACTTACAAAGGATGGTAGACGCATACTCCAGATGATATTTGCCGCCAATATCTGTCAATTGAGTTAGCATTAAGAGGCTCGTGTCCGATTAACTCAGAAATACCACTTACTCTGGAAGAAAGGTGTTGCAGGAATTGTAAGAACACCAGCAAGGAAATCTCTCGCCCAACCGTTTCCTCCAGTGGCTGAAGCTGAGTATGGTCCATATGCACAGATCATGTAATCGATGGTTGCCATGTAGATGCTGTAATTGGCGATACCGACAATAGCAGAGAAAACCATAGTACCAATCCAGTGAACAGGGGGTCCTAGGCTAGTCCAAGCGAAACCAATCAAACCAATCGGTAGGCAAGGGGCGGTATAGAGCAGCCACCAAAGACGAGATTCATACTGGGTGTGTTCGTCCTCAGGGTTTTCACGTCTCTCCTTGATGTTCCTCTTGATGGCGGGGACGAATGAGAACCACGCGATAAAATAACCAACAAGGATCGGGAGGAACGACAACCCAAGGGCGATCTTGCCAAAGCCCCATTGTTCATATACCAAGCCAAAGGACTGGATGAACATGAAAATCAGGGCGTCACTGAAACCACTCAAGAGTGAAAGGGTCAAGACAATCGGCTCAGTCAGGAACATCTTGAAGGGACGGATCCAGGTTATAAGGATTTCCCGCATTGAAAAGCGCTCGCGGTAAGGGACGAGTTCATTGGGGCCGTAAATATTAGTGTTTTCACCACTCTCCCTCATCTTTTTCGCAATGCGGTCCATAAGAATCGTAGTTCGGGTCTCCGGAACGAGGAGAAGGTGTGCAATCTGGACAAAGCCTCCGAAGATAAGCTGAATCCAGATGTTCCACCGCCAGGGCAAGAATTCTTCAACAAAGCCGCCGACAACAGGGCCGATAACCGAGCCGCCAACAGAAGAGAAGACAACACATGCAACAGCATACTGCTGGTCATCTGACTCCCAAAGGTCCGCAATCATACCAAGAGTAACCGAGCCACCAGCTGAGCTAAGACCACCCAAGGCACGGCCTACCATAATCGACGCGAAGTTGGGTGCAATTGCCACAGGAAGCTGCCAGATATTGACAAGAAATAGACTCGCCTGTAGGATAGGTTTGCGGCCAAGCTCCTCACTCCATGGTGCCCACAGCTCACAACCAAATGCATACAGCACCAGGAAGATCATTGCACCACAACGGGCAGCCTGCAAACTCACGCCGAACTCCTCTGAGATGCCACCAAGAGCATTAGAGTAAAGACTGGTGTTGAAGTTCATGGAAACCTGAACAAGGAAGATGACGGTGATGATCATCCACTTCTTCCAGCTAGGGAAGGCATAACCGAGCTGGTTATAGCAGTCATCTTCAGTCAACTCGATCTTCTCGTCGGCAGGCTTGTTCTCCAACTGGTCCATGGTAGTGCCAGCTAGATGGTCACGAGGAAGCTGAGACTTCTCGAGGTCAGCCGCGACCTTCTCAATTGCATCATCCTGGGACGATGACGACGCCTCAGGTTCACGCATTCTCTGCGTGGTTTCGATCTCCTTCTCGGAGACTGGGGCCATGTTGGCTGAATCACCACTGTTCGAATCAGCGCTGAAATTCGGAAGCCAAACCGGAGAGTAAGATAAGGAAAGGCTATGAGGTAACAACACAAGAGGAGAGCCGTTGCAATAAGAATTGAAATAACTTACCACGACACTAACCGGGGGATGGTAACACAGAGAGACGAGGCTCAGGCAAGGATCAGCGGTGAGGTGAGGGAAAGGAAGACAAATGGCCACGGATGGTGGAGGGATGAAAGCAAAGAAAGAGGAGGGGATGGGGAAAGAAGATAAAGGGAAAAAGTCGGGGGAGGGCAAGGTAGAAGAATGCGCGAGAATAAGGCCAAGAGCAAGAAGATGGGACCAGAAGAAAACTGGAAAGAGGAAGAGTGAGATCCGGCCTGTCACCATTGTGATTCTGGGGGCAAGTCTGGCAGGAGCTCCCAGAAAGGAAGGAACGGGCAAGGCCGTTGGCTGGACCCAGGAATCGTCGAATGTGACTCTCTAGGACTCCCCGCCTCCTCCAGGTCAAACACTATGCCTTGCCAACTTTGACTTTGACTTCGCCCCAAGCGATTATCATGACGATCTTCCTCAAGTCCTTAGTCGATTACAAGCACCAAACCGCCCAATGAAGATCTGTTCCTTTGGATAGCCATTCTTTTCTTTTCTTTTTTTTTTTTGCCCTCACGTTGCTGACGTTGCGCATCCTGACGTACCCCAAAGGCATTGGGGGTTTAGCAGACCACCGCGTTCGTCCACTGGTCTGCAGTCTGCACCTTGTAATTGCGGTGGCTTTTCCAGATCTGTTCTGTTCTAGGCCGGAATCCTCCATCCAGCCGGATCGGGAAGGCCAACCGCCAAACCTGACCCGGCGGGACTAGACTCCGGCATTGAGAAACTCGCCAGATATTATTATCATTCTAGGGGGTGGAATGGTTTCATGAGAAGAGGGATTCGCCAATAATCTCACAGCATGACATGCAGCACATTGCCGTCAAACTGTCAGTCAACAGAGCATAATCGGTGGTACGACGCAAGGAGTGTCGGGATGCCTAAAGCTGGGCGCCACAGATCCCGAGGGGCGGTCGGACTTGGCCTCCAGGGCCAAAGTCAAAATTGCTATGGCTTGATGGATCCATTATCTTATGCTTTGCCCTTGTTGGGTCGCTGCCTGTGGCGACTGGCTTTAGTGGATTGCCCGAGGGAATAGCCTCTCGGGCCTCTCCTGTCCTGACTTCTTCTCAACTTTCAGTTTTCTGGAACCTCAAGGCTAAAACCAGAATACTCCGTAGAGTCTTCGAGTTTGAAGCGGCACGTCCTGCCGCGGTGAGATGACGTCAAATGCCTGCTTAGACACGATCCTTCGCCTTTGCTTCTTTTTCTTGGCGTGAACTTAGCAAAGAACTGATTGTTATTTACGATTTCTCTTTCTGCACAGGGCGACCGGCGAAGACCAAGACGGTTTGCCGACTGCAACACTGGGCCCGCGGAGCAGAATTTTTCTTTTGACGGGGTTGTGGGGATTTCTCCATGGGACCATCCTAATCTCCAGTCTCCAGATTCCAGCAGAATAATTCGATGAATTCCCCGAATCCCCATAATAAACAGCCTGCAGAAGCGCGTTTTCGCCGATGGTAACTCAATTTGCAGCACATCCGTTTTAGCCGGCAACTCATTTCGAAGAACACGAGACCCCTGGTAGCAGAATGCTTTTCCAGTCACTCTTTCCGGTGTTCCCAAGGCACTTGGCGCAAGATCGTAGGATTAAGCACGCGCTAAGGCTCTCGTAAGACCAGCCACAAAAGCCAAGATGAACCATGTCAAGGATCAGGGTAACCCAAGCTTTGAGGTGTCTGGGCAGCGCATCATCTCGGAAGGACGCAGTAGCATCGCTTATGTTTTTCCCAACAAGCCACTGGGCCAATTCGATGAGATTTAAAGATGCATCCGATCGTCTCCAGATTCTTCCCACGTTTGGATGTAACTTTGAAACCCCCCGGCATTCCACAGATCCACCGGCCAGCGCAAAAGGGGGGCCAAATGGGCGATAGGAATCACGTGTTATGGTGTGAGTCACGTGTTATGGTTTGTGCAGCACTCCGTCATGTTCGGCTGTTTCCGGATCAGGTGAGACTACGCTAGTCCCAGAATAGATAGAATCACCGCACCCGGACGACCGACCGCCTTCTTCTTTGGAAAGTCCCTCCAGTTCAGTCAGACCACGAGAAGACCAAAACCGTCTGTTTACAGCTAGCTTGGCCATCCGTTATCATCATTCCCATCCTGCAACTGTTCTGATTGCCTGTTTTCATATAATCTGTGAAGCTAGGATTGTCTGATAGGGGTCGACTCGCCTGCAACGATGTCTCCGGACATCAATTCCCTGCCCCCATCTCGCTCGGCATCTGCTTCCCCACGCCAACGACGCACACTCTCCAGTCTATTGGACGCTCTCGCTCCCACCCAGCCTCTACCGGTTTCTTCGGCCGGGTCTTCAAACTCGACTCACAACAACAGTAACAACCACCACTACAACAGTAACACCACAATTACTGACCTCCCGCGGCGCCATCACCCAATAGCCATGTCAGAGCGCCGCCGATCTGGAAACCTGAACCTCAACAGTAGCAACGATAGCTATAGTGAGTCGGGTGGCGTAGACATCCCGTCGCCCTCTGATCATCGGCCTTCCATCGGCCACGGACTTCGCAACTCCAGCCCCTCCAACCTCGGCGGTAGTCCCGTTATTGGCACGGGTGATCCCCATCATCAGCGTACTCCTTCACTTGGGGAGTTGCATCAGGAGCTTGAACAAGAACAGGAAGCGCAAGTGGTAAGACATCCCGATCTCCTTTCATCCTCACCGATGATAATCATAATCTTATTCTTATATTTTGCCGTTTTAGAACCGGCTTCTACAAACTATCCGGTCCCAACAGGTTCGGCTTCAGCATTTTGAACACCAGAACCAGCAATCTGCAATTGACGATGCTCCTCTCTCCTCGGAGCGCCCCACGTCATCTTTCCCTCCAGCTGCAGCTCTCTCTACTGCTGGTAGCAGAACTTCAACCCAGTTGACCTCTTCTTTGTCAAGTCGCCGTCCGAGTCAGGCACATTCTCCTAACCTTCGCCCGGCCGACTCATCCCGTGGCTCGGACGCTTCAGAGTGGGTCCCGGCCCCCGGTGAGAGTGCAGGACGGCGGGGTAGCCGAGACGGAAGTAGCTTCTACCACGCCGAAGCCACGGCTCTCGCAAGAGAAAATCAGATGCTACGGCAGCGCGTTCGAGAGCTAGGTGCGTGATATTTTTTTTTTGGCCCCGGCCTAGTGCTACTTAGGATAAGCGCGAATCCAAGTTAAATCCCTCACTAACGCTAAGCTAGAACGCCAAGTGAGCGAGCTGAACACAAGCTTAATGGCCTCTTCTCAAACGCCCGATGAGGCGAATGTTGGAGTACCCCAGGTCGCAGCGGGAGCGGGATCTGATGGCGAGGCGTCAGACAAAACATGATTGGCTGGATGCATTAATCTGCAAAGGGTATTTGGATTGCCCGACTCTCGAGCCATGAATGGATCGGCATTTGTCAACTTGGACATATTCGAAAATCGAAACTCACCGCAAGCACTTAGTAGTATTAGTCTACTCTGTGAAAAAAAACCCCTCGGTTCCAGCGAAAGAAGCACATGGCGCCTCAGTGTTCACCAAAGCTACTCCAACAATCACACCATCAGTACCCTGAGACAGGCGGCGCTCTATTCGGCGTCATTGCAGTCCCAGGCAGTCGAGGCGCGACTGCAACCTTTGGCATACAGAATTATACATATTCCATTCCATTTTCTGTATGTTTAGCACCACTAGTTCTGGACTTGGCTATGCCTCCTTACATTGTCAAAGCACGCAGCATCATCTCAACGAGCTTAGCTCATGATGTATCTATCCAATACAAAGTAACCCAACCGTACAACTTGGCCGACTTCCCTCAAAAATGGCACGCCGTAGTGAGTACCCAACTCCCCTTGCTCGTCAGGCCGTAAGTGAAGTCAGGGCGTCTACACGTGCACGGAGTACACCACGCGAACCCAACGCAAGGCGAATTCCATCCCCTTACTCAATTCACATTCCGGCGTTTGAGATCGATCGATCGGGTCGCTGGCGCCTGGCAGCGCGGCCCCAACGCAAGGGGTCATAGGTCATACCAGGTGCGAACCGAACGAGCCCAGTCGAAGCGCAAATTCGCCCGCGTTGGTGGCTGCCTGCCCTGCCTGAGTGTACGGTGTACACAGTCAGCTCGTAAACGACATTCCTCTCCTTTTTCCAGGCGAAATCTGAGCCGCGCAGCCCAAAGTTCAAACTGCCATCGCGACGCACACCCCCGGTTCCACTGGGCTTTGTTCCCTGGTTTACAGTTTTACATTATTGTAGCCTGTGGTCCAGTGCAATCTCAGTCTGGGAGAGTCTGCAATAATACGTACGTAGTAATAATGGTGCTGTGCAGTGCCTGTACGTACTTGGTTCCGGCCCACTTTATGGAGTACGTAGGTTGCGTCTTTTCCAGAATCTCGTGTCCCCCATCCCCGTTTCCACACCCCCCTACCGCGTGGCGTGTGGGTCATGCCTTGATATACATGTGATACGTATAATGGTATCTCTCTCTATCGAGCTTATAATTGCATACCTGCATACGTACAGTGCCTGCACGGATACTATAATTAAGTATATGTATGGGCCAAGGCTTTAAAATGGAAGGGAGATAACTCGCACGGAATAATGGAATATTCTTACTATATATGTATATAGTTGGAGTAAGCTTACTGCTGCAACCAAGCCGAATTAAACTGAGATTGATTATTACATCCATAAATATATCAGAAATCACTGCTTAGATATTTTCTCAATTACTCATCCCACCTGTACAAAGAACTTCCTGTCTTACTAGTGACATTCCTGCTTTGTACACCTGACACTCGCACTACGCACAATAGACGTGGCTCGGAGATTCCAGCAGAAGTCAATTAGATTAAATGGACAGAGAATTTGGCCATTAACTTAATATCTCGTTGACAATCTGAACAACCCCCCACCCCCTTCTCTTAGAAATTGAATTGCTTACACCCCAGAGAACTAGTACTTGGTAATCCTGTCTTTAGAAGACAAACAATTTAATCCACCCATGAATCCATTCAGCTAAAACCAAGATAAAATACATAGAAAATCAAGCCAGTAGCAGTACTAGTGGCAGTAGTAGATATCTCAAAGCAACCGCAAATCTATGCATGAAAGAAATCTGTCTACAGCGAGGGCCTTCTCTTTCTTCCAACCGACCAAGCCAGGTCGGTCTCCAAGCCAAAGGAAAATAAAGCAAATAAATGAAGTAACGAGTTTACAGCTTAGCCTTCTCGGCCTCGGCGGCAAGATCGGGCATCAGCATGTCGCGGATGTCGCCGGCGGCCTCGTTGAGGTAGTGGCTCATGCGCTCGGCGCCGATGCGCTTGCAGACGATGTTGAAGTTGAGGCTGTAAAGATAGAAGCATTAGCACTTGATTTATTTGTCGGTGGCAATGAGGCTCAAGGGACTTACCTGTTCTCGTTGATCATGTACGCAATTCCGAATCCGTCATCAATGACCTCGGACCATCCGTAGCCGTTGAAGTACTCCGAGCTCAGCTGGGAAGTAGACAGGTACCACGAGCCACTGTAGGCGAAGGCAGGGTCTGAGTAGATGGAGGGAAGAGGCTCGCCCTCCTGGAGGAGCTTCTTCAGACCGAAGAGGTGGCGGTCGACACCCTTGCCGTCGCTGGCCTCGGCGGTGTACTTGGAGTGAGCAGTGAGGGCGGTGCGGAAGAGGCGGACGGCTTCCTCGCGGGGGACGGAGGCATCGGAGATGGCCTTGCAGAAGGCGACGCTGTCGTCGGATACAGTGCGGATTGTCTCTGTGCGGCCCTCGGCGAACTTACGGGTTGATGCGGACTCGTAGGTAGGGCGGTTCTTGCCGTACATCTTGAAGTAGGCGAGCTGGATGAGCATCTGCACGTATGCGTCGGGGCTGCACTTGAACTTCTTGATCAGGCCTTTGCCGTAGCCCTGGTAGGCCTGGACACGCAGCTCGTGAGCCGCGATCTGCTGGCGGTGCTCCTTGGCGGCGACATCAATGGCCTCGTTGCACTCCTCGTTCAGGTGGAAGTTGATGGGGCGGGGGTCGGGAAGGTCGGAGCGAACAGGCTTGGCTGAGAGGTCGATCTTGTTATTGAAGATGAGGGCATTGAGGTGGTCGTTCAGGCGGTGCGTCGGGCTGCCGTCCATCATGCTGTGCTCGCCCATGAAACCGGCAGTACCGTTCTCGTTGATAATGAACTGAAGGGGCTTGTCGAACCAGCGGTTCGAGCCATCACCGTGCCAGTACTGCGAGGCACGCTCCTCAAGAGTTACGGGGCTGGCATCATCCAGGCAGATAAGGAAGCCACTGGACTCAATATCCTTCAAAGCCTGGGCGTTGTTGGGGTGAGCAGCAAGGATCTTCTTACGAGCAGCAGTCCAGTGGTCACGGTTCGCAACAGTCAAAACACCAACAGGAGGAGCCTTCTGCGCAATCTGGTAGATGCGCTCAAACGTCTTCTCCAGCTCCGACACATTCAGCTGCCGTCCATTGACAACAAGCGGCACCTTGAAGAACTGGTTCTTGCGCACAACCACAATGTGCTGATTCTCGTCCGCCTTGTACTTCTGCGGGTAATCCGCCCCGTCGTTCGGAATCCGGCAGCAGTTGAACATGTACTCATACGAGCTCATTGCCTGCGGGATCTTCCTCAGGTACTCCGGCTCAACCGACCCCGCATCAACCTGGCCCTTGAACTCCAGCGCCGCAGTTGCAATCGCCGCAGCACGCTTAACGGGGTCCCGACGCGCCCGGTCATCACGGTACGAGTAGAAATAAGAGACATAGGGGATCACAGGGTCCCGGTAGCCGAGGTAGGCCGCGTGGTTCCACCACTCGGTCAACCAGTTCTTGTGCTTGGGGTCCGCGGCGCGCGCGAGTAGTCGCTCCTGCAGCTTCTGTCCGACACCGCCGGCCTGCACGAACTCCTCCACGGCCTTCTTGGTGTTTTGGTACTCGGCCTCTGATACCACCGCGTGCACGGACTTGAGGTACCGACGGCCGGTCTCTTCTAGTGACGGGACGGGGAGGCGGGGTAGGGAGTCTTCGAAACGAAGCATGTTGCCCTTTGAGATATCTTCTTTGTATCCTGGAGGCATTGGAATCAGCAGGTTGCTCGTTTAGAAAAAAAAAAAAAGAGCATCCTCGCCACGTGAAGTCATTGCGGATGCATGTGATCATTTCCCTACTCACCCTCAGGGACAGAAGAAGCCTTGCGTCTGGGAGCCATTGTTGAAGCCTGCTACTATATTAGCCAATCTCCAATTACTCTGCCGGAGCAAAAAGGTAATAATCATACGACAGAAGATCTAGCAAGGAGGGAATTCGTAGGAGAGAGACGGGGACGAGCAAGAGTAGAAGAAGAGAAACGGCCCCGGGCAGCCGCTGTAAACATCACTCTCGGTGTGAGGGGTATACGGGCGGAAGTAAAAAAAAGACGAGGTCCCTAAATAAGGTAGAAGAGAGAAAACGAGAACGTGATAGGTATAAGAAGAAGGTTTGAACGAGACAGGGAGGTAAGATGAGCACGAGGAATTCACGGGAGACAGGAAGAGGGAACTTGAGTAGAAGATGGAGAGTGACGAAGCGCAACGAACGAACCTCGGTTGAATGGCTGGCCTGTCCGGTGCGTAATGTACCGTATTTGACCGTCACAGCCGCACCCTCGGGCTGTGGCTACGGCCATTCGGCCCGGTAATACAGATACACCGCGGGGAGCCGGGAGGATGCAAGCAGCTTGATTGGGCATTTCAGCCTCGGTCCGATCATATGAGGACAGGATGCCTAGAGAGAGGTCTCTAGTACGCCTGGAATATTCTATCCGGTGTCTAAATACAGTAAACAAGAGGTTTTGACACGCAGTATCCCTCTGTTGCCACAAACTGCGGATTCTACGGCCGTTGGTAGAATGCGGGGAGAGCTCCATGATCAGATACGTAGTGATGATGGATGCGGAACCGAAACTCTCCCCGGACGTTCTACAACCTTCCACAGTGGAACGCTGCCACAGCAGTTGCAAACTTACAACACTAGATATGATAATAGTGCTATTATTTATATTGTCAGAATAAGCTTAGACTTTCCCTTCACCCGTCCCGTTGATCCGATCTGCAAGGATGCATCGTTCACACGTGGTGGACGAATCATCGAGCACGTTGCAGAGGCGTCAACCAAAGAAAAACTGTGATATCAGAACGATGGACAAAGCCAAGGTACATACTGTGAACTGTTGTAAATGACAAGCCACCCTTTACCAAACATGAAAAAAAAGAGGAAAAAAGAGGAGAAAAAAAGAAGAACAAAAAAACCCGATGACCGGCTTACGCCACGCCTCGCTAGTAACTTACACAAACAGTCCATAACTAAGTAACCCGCCCCCCAATTCAAGGCAAAACCAGAAAAGAATTATTAGACTAGAAAATTAGAAAATAAGCAATACCTCATCCTTACGACACGGTCTGCATCGCAGAAGAAGGCTGATCTTGGCTCTTAATCGCCTTTGACTTCTGCTGCGGAGGCTGGATAATCCCGCTGCGGAGCTGGTCGAGCTTAACAGCACTCGGCCCTGTACAGATCCGACCGGTTTGCATGAGATTGCGCAGTCGTTTCCGCCTAGCTTCTCCGCTGCGCTCCTCCGCACGACCAACACCCTCATCCACCCACTCAATACGCTGGACTTTGAAGCTCATGCCGTCATGGTTCTGCTCCCAGGCTCGCGACTTCAGTCCAAACAGTACGCTGGAGTCGTACCGTTCTAGTTTAGGTAGGATGAGTAATGTGATGTGGAGGTCCTTGTCGGACGGTGGCGCTGGAGGGGTTTGGGGGCGTTCTCCTTCATGGATGCCCATGTCTTCAGCTGTTTTGGGAGCATGCTGGAAGGTTTCTTTGATCTCTAGGTCGAGCATCTCGGAATCCACGTCTTCGCCCCACGCGCCACGAAGGAAGCCAGAGTGGATGGCAGCCGCAACGGGGTCCGAGTCATCAGTGTAAATACCAGTACCCCAGAGAGCGCGGCGGGCACAAATCTCTTCGCGGTGGCTGTTATCGACTCGGAATCGGGGAACACGGATAGTGAATGTGCAGTTTTCCTTTCCATCAAAGCGAGGAAGAGGCAGAGGAGTTGTTGTATATCCAAACTTAGCACTCTCCAAAGTAGCTTTTGAGGTTGGCGCTCCAATACGTGGAGCATACAGCGTTGAACCGAGGTGCTGGCGAGGAAGATGAGCGACCTTTGAAAGAACAGGTTCGATCGTAACAACAGTTCGAGGTTCGCGCATCGGCGTTAGGGCAGTCGAAGTCCGGGGCGTATGGTGATGATGATGATGGTGGTGATGGTGATGAGGATGACCAGGCTCCGAGCTAAGCCCATCACTTGGCCGATGGAACATGTTCATGCCTAATGGTCTGTGCGAGCCACCATAAGGAGAATGTTCTTCCTCGGGCTTGTGGTGATGGTGGTGATGGCTGCAAACGATTAGTATATTATATCAATTAAGAAGAAAAGGACAAAAGCACGTACTGATGGTGGTGGTGGTGATGAGAGCCACGACTCCGTCGACCACCACGCATAGGCCCTACACCATTCTCACCTTCTAGGCGATTCTCTTCCTCCGATCTTCTCAGGCGTTTTCCATTTGCAGAAGTAGGTCGAGTGATTTTATTTTCATCCGATGTAGTCTCGGCGTTGGCGGATCGAGCAGTGAAACTGTCACGCTTGAACGGGCTGGCAGTCATTGGTGTCGAAGGTCCACTGCCTGTGCTTGCAGTGACACCCCCCACACCACTCCCGATACCTGCGAAGACACGACCTAGTTCACTCTTGATCCCCAACTCACCAGCGGGCCCAGGAATTTGAGCTTGTGCACCTTGCACGGCTTGAGGCAGTGGGGAAGCGCGACCACGTTTCGTGTCTAGGCCAACCCCAAGCAGGTTACGATGATGCATCAACTCATCGCTACCCTTACGAGACTGATCATCTGGTGAGTTGTGTGCGAAGGAAGAGGGCTGTCCGGACGAGGTTCCGCCGTAGGGCCGAGACTCGCTTTGTCGCTTGTTCAGGTACGATGGCTGCTCTCGCGGGGAGGAGGTTCTGTGGCCCTGCGAAGTCGAGGCTGAGGCCGGATTCTGGCGAGAGCCCCCTGGCTGCGAGCCTAGAGATTTGGTGTAGTTTTGAATCGCTCCAAAGCCAAAACTGTACGATCCGGGCTCCGACGCCGATAACCGCTTCGATTCCGGCGAGGTGGGTTGCGAACGACCTAATTCCCAAGAAGATGTAGATTGCTGCCGACCGGGTGGTGCGTCACGGTCTCCGTAGAGTGAGCCAAACCTTGGAGGCGGAGCAGCGCTCGCCTTAGTTTCCGGCTGATGAGACATACCTCGTTCTTTATCCCGACGGGCTTGGTCCTCTGATTGGCGGTCACCGTATAAACCCCCAAAGCGGCTGTGCTGAGAGTCATGGCTCAGGTATGAAGGCGGTCGCTGGTGCGACGCCCCAAACGAGCTCTCCCCAGGCGCAGGTGCAGGCCTTGACAAAGGACTATAGCCACCAGGCCGCGATGGAGGTTCAAGGTGTTGGGGTTGGCTATTCGGTCGAGGTGGTCCACTGAAACTCAGGCGACGCGGTTCGTTACTGCTATACGGCGGTTCGGCCGGTGAAACCTGTGGTGAAGGGTGCGCAGAGCTGGGTTTACCCGGATACTGCGACGCAGATGATAATCGATTTAGCCCACCGTATTTTTGCTGCTCGGCACTCGCGGTTGTAGGGACGCCTCCGGAACTCGATCGATACGGTCTACCAGGTTGACTACTCCTCGGAAAGGACTTCTCAGGGGTCTGCGATCGACGGTATCCGGGGTACTCGAGCGGCGACGGACGTGCTGGAGCGGTGGGAGGAGACATGGCACCTGGTGCTGAGGGCGGCGGCGGCGGCGCGCTGCCGAAGGGACCGGAGGAAACAGGAAGACGCGAGAAAATGGACGAGCCTACATCTCGCGGTGGTCGGTCAGCGTCCGAGCCTAGCATGGACGATATCGACATGCTGCTCCCTGGACGGTGATGAGCCGCGGTGCTGGGAGGCTCACGCGACAAAAATGGAGTAGAGAGAGAGGAGGGATTTCCCGATTGACCGCGCGACGGGTAATGTGGTGGAGACGGGGGAGGCATCCGACGAGAACCCGACGGGGGTGCGGAGGACTGATCTGGCTGGCCTAGAGGGTGCATGCGAGCGCAGACGTTAGCAAGTTGAACTCGACACCACGATCTGAGAAGGAAAAAAAAAACACAAAAAAACACGGTGTGGGGTGGGCAAAAAGCAAGATAGTGTTGAGATGATGTGTCGGGTAGGGCACCCGCGCCGGCTAATTTCGCTTCTCCTGGCGACAAAAGGATTCAGGAGAAGAGCAGACGCCTGACACTCACCAGCGTAGGCAGGACTGCCACTGCTACCCCAGGATCTCCGGCGGGAGTGGTCTTGCGACTGGGGAGGGTTCATATCGCATGGACAGGGCCGGGGAAGCAGCGAAGCGAACCACAGGGACAAGAGGACAGCAAGGGGAAGCGAGGCGACGTGTCGGGGGCGGAGCGAGGGGGAAGAGACAGACAACACGAGTCGCGCAGAGACTGGCGATAGAAAAGAGGCGAAGAGATGGGAGACGGGGAGATCAGCCGAGAGAGAGATGGGGGAGGCAGGGGAGAGATGAGAGACGGCGACAAGGAAGAGAGCCCAGAGGCGTGGACGGAGCAAGCCCGTGATGATGGACAACAAGCGCTGTGGGTTTGGCTTTGGCTGAACTCTGGGCGCCTGGAGCTGAGCCGCCCACCGGAGCTGCATCGTCCCGCCCCCTTTGGGCATAGCGCCCGGCTGATCGTGGGCCCCTGATTGGCCAGCCCAAACTTTGGGACAGGTTCCTTGCAATCCAGGCAGACAAAAGTACACGCAGAAGACGGAGACTGGATACGCGGAAAGTTCAGAAAGAAGGAAATGTAAACAGCTTACCCTCGCGATGCACACTCAGACTCTCCCGATCGCTGCGGTAACGAGGCCCGGAATTAGCATCAAGTCTGGGCGACGCGCCCTGGAAAACATCCTCCCGATGTGGCTTTTTCCGTGAACTATGGTTCGCTTGTGAGACGTGATACATGCTGTCCCTTCGCCGGAGTGGCGCATACCCATTCTCTGCGGAATATAGCGTGACGGCAGGGGTGCCATCTGGCGGCGGGTGGTGGTAGTTGTTGGCGGCTGACGGAGGTGCTGATCGGGGCATATCGAGCTGCGACTGGTCGACGGGGCCGTTGGACGGACGGAGTGGTCTGTGCGACTGAGAATACGAAGGCAAAGGTGAGCCTGACAGAGACGAGGGCCCTGATGGCGGCGGAGCAGGTGTTTGAGGGGGCGGAGCACCGGCGACAGTGACTGAATGGGGGGCGGGAGGCGCAGAAGGGAGAGGCGGAGGGAAGCGAGGGCCGTGGGCTGGTGTCGATAGTGTATGCAGAGGATATGTCGACGTCGATGGCGAGGGATAGTGCTTGTGGTAATCCATTATGGTGAAGGGGGATGGATAGTGCTGCGGTATTATTATCAGCAAACGCCAGCGACCGGACGGGTGGCGCGCATCTGAGTTTTGCAAGATGAGAATCAAAATGAAAATCAGGATCAGAATCAGAAGGGCAACAGCTGGAGACTTGGAAAAGTTGGATGGCGAGGTGAGGGAGAGCATGCAAATTACGGTGAGAAAGAACCGACACTCCAAGCAAGGAAACAAAAGCCCTTCACGCGACAGACTCGCAGACACTATACTCGCCCTGTCGCAGGCTAGCAGCGCTGCAGCAACGCACTGCTCGATTTATTGGAGACATCGGAGTAAAAAATTGACAGCAAACGGCCAATCAGAGGCACCAGCCAGCAGCTAGTTTTGGTGTGGCAGCGGGGAAAACGGTCGATCCGCCAATTCTGCTGAGGTCGATTTAAGGCATCGTTGGGCTCATCTCCACTTGCAGCGTGATGTATGAGATGCAGTCTTAACGTGTCATGCCTGGGCAGGGTTCCTCTACAATGCACGGAGTGCCCGTGCTGGTCCTTGGAGCGTCGTGGCTAGAGACAAAAAGAAAACAAAACATATTGGGTATAAACGTATAGTACATAACCGAGTCTATATATTAGAATAACCCCTTCATGACTCGAGACAGATCATCCTTTAATGACAGCCGCCGGCATCCCCTCCCTGAAACCACAATTGTAACGGGCCGCAGTACAAGTTCCTGCTCTGCATTTCGATACGACAGGTACCCACTCTCGTTCAGCGCCTTCAGCTGTGTCACGAGCACCGGCCACGCCTTGCGCATCGGCGTTTTGACATCCAAGAATATTGTGAATGTCTGCTGGGGATTGTTGTCGAATAGCCCGACTGGCGTAGCATTAAACTCGCCATCATGTTTTTCAGTTCTTGAGTCATTAGAAGAAGCAGCGTTTCGGGCATCTAACTGGTGCTGCAGTGATTTAAGGTAGACGCCTTTCAGCGTGTCTTTTCTGCCAGGATTTGATGAAGAAGGCGATGGTGAAGAATCTTCGATGAGCAGATCATGGTGTCGCTGCCACACATCGACTTGAACACCAGTACACCCAGAAGAGAGCGCATGCTCGATGGGGTTGTGGGCCGCTCCCCCGGGCTGTGATGGAGGGCCAAACGCGCAAGCGGCTGCACGATCAAACGCCCGATCGACTGTTATGGGCGTTTGAATGAACTCGGGGAGCCCCTTTGTATGGACGGGTTCCAAAAAATAAGATGCGACGTGCGGTAATTGTAACAAGAACTGCACGATGACACTAAATAATTTGTTAGATGAAGCTGAGACCAGCATCTAGATTGGCATCGAGTGACACTCACAGGAACATCAACAGCAGACTCAGCAGGGGAAGAACACGGTCTCGCACACCCCTCCTAACGATCGCATATACCTTCCTGGTGAATGCAGAGATGTCGGGATGGCAATCAGAACCGGACGGGTATGAGCGAAGCGGGTGGTCCTCGAGCAGCAGCCACGAGTACGAGTCGTACTCTTCGGCCTCGAGCAGCGGCTTCGTGGCACCGAGGGCCTCTAGATCTGGCGAAGTGGCCATGACTTGGCGGGAGAAATCCAGAGTCCAAGGCAGATGAGCTCCAATGCGCCTGGACCCTGTAGGGGCTCTGTGCCTCTTTGTCCGACGCGTGCGGAGTGGAGAGCGAGAGAAGCCTCACCTTGTAGCGGTGAGCGAAGACTTCAAGCAGCGACAGGGGCCGGAACAAAAGAGCTGGGGATCACAGAGACTGGAAGAGGCGAGACTTCCAGTGCTCGAGCTCTGAGCATTGGGCTGAGGATTCGGAGCATCGCGAGAGAGGACTGGAGCTGGGGGTGAGCTTAAGAGATGCGAGAGGGCAAATGACTCCATAGCACGCCATTGTTGGTTGAGATGGTTCATCGGCGGTGGGAGCTCGAGCCATGTCCATCACCAGCACCGTCACCAGCACCGTCCCGGGCTCTGCATGCATCTCTGGTTCTGCATTTTTATCGCACTGTTTGTTACATCTGTTCCCGTCCAGCTCGCTTGGAAAAATCGCATTGTTGAATCGTGAAGCTGGCTGCCAAGGAATCGGCCTTATCCATGGTCTTTTCCATGGTCTCCTCAGCCAAGACTGCAACACTGCAGATCATGAGGGGCGCCTTGAATGTCTTGACTGTTGATTCTGGACCTGGACTACGAGAGAGTTGTCCAATTGACTGTTCCATTGCAATCTGCACCTCTTGGTTGCTCCACGTCCACGCCAGCTCATACCAGACAAATTGGAAATCAACCTTTGAATATAAATATAATGCCTTACATTATCTAGTCTGCTCGAAAAATTAACCTACTTAAGTCGGCAGCGTCTGAGCAGGGACCACAACATGCGATCAAGTTCTCGAGACTGTTATTCGTCACCTTAGCATCAGAGTCGTGCGTATAGCTTCGATCCAATAAACAGAGGCTAACATCCACATCCCTTTCTCAATATACCAGGCTACCTAGGCGTATCTTCCGGACAGACCATACTGCACTGGAGGAATTGAGAAGCCAGAGCTAGCGCCGCATGAAAGCAGCTGTAACAAGGATGCTGCAGCAGCTATGTCTACTGTCTGCCCTTCTGATAAAGACACGCGTACCTGGCCGTAGCCGTTTAGATGATGGGCCGGGACGTCGGACTCACAATTTAGCTTGTTCATAGTAACATGATACTATCTTCCTTGAGCGACCCAGTCACTATCCCATGTGCTTTAATGAAGGACGACGTCTTTCGTGAGCGGCAGACTTCCCACTTCTTCTCCAAAGCTAGTGACTGGATGTCCTTGCTTTCAGGTATGATACTAAATAACATGTCAGTATCAAAGGCTTGATATTACATGCTGATGCTCGTTGATGATCATGGAACCGGCCACGCGTGAAGTCTTCGTGATCTGGCTAGCGGGCCGAGCCCTAAACTCAACTCCCCAGTCAACAAAGCGCTATCTACAAGAATATCTAGCAGGGAAACGGCCAGAGCCTCCTCCCATCATGGGTGATTGTAGGACTTTTTCAATTCGCGACGGGCAATGAACGAATTCGGTCCTTTTTCTGGGAAATGGTTCCCACTACCAATTGGTGTATTGCAGGCATCATAAGTACATCTATTTCGCACTTAGAAGTAGATACATAGTCCTCCATTTACAATTTGCGCCCCTCACGGCGTCCGAGCACCCTCGCCTATCCCCATCAGCCCACCAGCCAGCCCAGACATCCGCCGACCCAAGAGGTCATCCTCGCTGGATAGGCTGTGCAAGCTGTGTTCTCTCTCCTGCGCTGGACTCACTGGATCGGAAGCCCATTCCTCATGGATGTTGATGTTTGTCGGTGCGAATGGTCGCCGTTTGCCTAGCCCCTTCGGCCGAGCCGGACGACCTCGAGAAGTCCCACTTTGTCTAGGACTCTCGTCTGTAGCGGGAAGCTGTTCGGGTTGAAACTCATCCGGTACCGCATTTGGTTGTTCTTGGCTGTAACCTGGGGCGCTGGCACAGCGAGCTGTTGGGGATAGAGGTGTCAATTTCCCAATGCTCATTTCCAGTGGTTTGTCTTCGTCTGCGGAAGATTCACCGGTGAGGGTACGCTGGTGGTTACGAGGTGAGTCCTGGCGCTCATCGTCGAGCTTAGGGCTGTCGGAACTACCGAGACTGGACGGCGATTTCCTCATATCGGCCATATTGACTAGGGTTTGTATCCAGGCCGCGCACCTGTTGATATGCTTCCAGCTGTCTGGGAAGAACCCGGCCATCTGTAGGAAGCCGTGTGAAATTCCTGGGAGTAAGGAGACTTCCACATGGTCTTTCTCGTTGAATGATCGGTGGGATTTCTCAAGACCTAGCTCCTGTCTTTCGTGGAACCGGCGCATCTTGGCTTGTCGGAGCCGCCCGGCGAAAACGACTGTGTCGTCGACCAGTGGGTCTCGTTCTCCTGTAATGATGTATGTCTTTGGAAATTGTGCGAGAAGCTCTTCAGGCGCTAGGATTGGTGACAGTAGGTAGTCTGTGTTGAAGTCCGGACGATTGTGGGGTCCGATGTAGAGAATAATCATTGCCCGCATCATTTCCGGCGATAAGATTCTATCATTGACATAAGATATCACGGATGACACTGCCAGTTTGGTTCGGATCTTCTTGGGCTGATTGTTTGCAAGGTATGCGGCTTCCATATCTGGAGGCTCTTGCTTATCCTCTTCTACCGCCATTCCCGGCGTTTCTTCCGCCAGAGTGCCCGCCTCTAGATCCGGCTTAGAGAGGTAGGAATTTTGTCGAAGGTCATCAACAGATGCGCCCGGAGTAGCAAATGGAGTCAGCCGTTGATAGTCAGAGTCCTTTCTTTGCTTGACACTTCGACTAGTGCTCTTGTCCTGAACCAATGCCATTTGTTCTTCGGTCATCCAGCTCTCGATCTTCATGTTCAGAGCCGGGTAAGAAAGAACTAACCCATCTGGTGGTGGAAGCGAGTTTTGAGCTTGGCCTAAAGATTGATCCTTTTGTCCAGACTGGAGAACCATCAGTGCGGTTCCAACGGCAAGATTAGCCCCAGCGCTGTCGCCCGTGAGAATGATGCGAGGCGGTGCATCTCCTGCGAGTCCTAAGCAGCGACCGCGCGTGGTGATTATAGAGTGGTAAACATCATAACACTCATTCAAGGCGTAAGGGTAGGGGTATTCAGGTGCCTTTTTGTAGTTGAGGCTCAAAATCGGGAGCTTGGTTTTGCCCGCCCAGGCAAGTAATCGATCCTCCGAGTGCCGGGGTGTCATGGAGACAAACCCACCTCCGGGGATATCAAGAACAATACAAGTCTGGTCCCTCAGTGCACTCAAAGGCCCGTCAAAGTAGAGCCATGCATCAGTGGGCTCGTTGTAGATAGACTGTCGGGGCCGGGGAATGCGTATAGCACGAGGTGGGTATCTGGTTAGGCGCGGACGTACCAGGCCTGCAAGGGCCCAGAGATACGGTGTCGTCCCTTTGTTCCATGATACCCGCATATGTTCTACCGTTAGTGTTGCTCGTACACGGCGAACCTTATCATCTGCTTGCTCAGCCGCAAACAGATAATAGACAGTGCAGCCCAAGGACGTAACTTCTCGGAGCCATTTGGGCCGGACCTTCATTGCGGTCCAGAATCCAGCATCCAGCGCCGTTGTGATCCATGTCGCACGGAAGAAAGATCGGGAATAGAGATTCGCTAACGGCTCAGGGCATTCAAGGCCCACGACTTTAGCGAAGTTCCGACAGAAGTAGAGCCACAGAACAACAGCAACGGTGGTTTGCCAAACGCTCAGCCTCTTCGAGAGGCGGGATGAAACGCCTCGAACGCCGGGAGGGCCATGTTTATTTCCCCTATCCGAACAAAGCATTTAGCAGCTGTGGCTTGAAATACCATTCCGTCATGACGCACCTTAGAAGGTAGTAGGACCAGAATATGAATACAGCAAGCACCTGAACCTTTCGGAATCTGGTCGATGGCCTCCCCAGAACGTGATCTAGATCGATGTTTAGTGTTACGCAGGGCTTGCTCGGACAAATGGACATACCTATCATCACTACAAGCTAGTGGAAGTATATCGGCGGGACTATTGTGTGACAAGGAGATTTTGATAGACTAAGTGTTAAATAAGGCAGGTAGTCAATGGAGACGTTGCACAGAACATGAGATAGTCAACAGTAAGCAGGGTCGTGTAATTTCGTTAATATGGCAGCGAGATTGGCGGAGTATAGAGAAGAGAGCAGTCAATCCATCATAGAATCTGGGGTTTGTTGTTAAGCAACCCAAAAATGATCGTAATATACCATATATAAACAGCACAAGATGAAACAACCTTGAAGAAAGGAAGAAACAAGCGAGCTGAGGAGGAATTGCAGTGTGAGATGGACAGAAAAGGCCATCGCATTTCATTTCAAAGCCACACATCATCACCCTCAGATTCATTGCATGTGAAAGGCCCCACCAGCCCGGGCCACTCCCACTCCTTACCATTCTTTCTCTTGTCAGCCACGCAGCAGGTGCCCAATGCAGGGAGGAAGGCGGAGCAGCTCCGCGGATTAGTGGAGGGCGCATTCCGCTTTGTCTTTGGCGTGGTGGAATCTTTGTTGTTGCAGAAGACCCACGATCACATGCGTCTGCTGAGTCCTGTGACGCTACTGGCTGTCAGCTGAACTGTACGGTGTAGGGCTACTCCAGCAGTTCGAGGACAGTACAGTTCTATTTTATGGATACCTGCAAACTATTTCAAATCAGGTTCTTCGACAAAAGTCCCTCCCCCGCGAAACCTGCCAATCGCACAGCCAGACTTCAAACACCATCCCAAGAAACCCGGCAATACAAATGCCTCCTGAATCGCTGACCGTGGTGGCCCCGAGCGAGAATTCGCGGTCCTCTCGCGGTACTCGGTCTCCAATTTCTGCAAACGTATTGACATAAACTAGGCCTCCTAGGAGGCCCTCCCAGAAAACTACAAGGAAAACGAGGTAGACGCTGGGAATGAAATCAAACAGGGAGTGCAGCGTCAGCAGCACTAGATTGATGACTTGCAGGAATGACGGAAGGTAGAGGTCATGTACGCGGAAAAAGGGAGTAGACGAGCGAGAGATGAAGACTCCGACCTGGTATATCGCATTATACGCGGGATAAAATGCCCGGAAATTTTCGAAAGGGGACTCTTCTAATGGGAAGAGTAATGTCGGAGATACCCCCTGGTTGATAGTATATTCCGCAATGTACACGAGGAGGAGTGGTAGCATACTAAGCGAACCGTTAGCAAGTATTTGAACAGAAATGCAGAGAGCGCGTACAAAGGAAAAAAGAGTCCCCGCGCGCGTCGCAGGTTCGTTTTCAAACTTTGCCATAAACGTCCTCGAGAGTGTCCGCTTTTGAGACTTTCCGTGGAATGGATGGAGGACCCAAGCAGCCCTTCTCTTTCCTCAAAACCATCATCGTCAAATGCACTATCATTCGCATGTAGCTCCCCATCCCCACCCCCGGCGCGCATCGGCGATCGGGGTAATATCATGAAAAAGCTGACAGCCAAAACAGCCGGCAGGAAAGCGGATGTTAGCAAAGCGGTTTTCACTTGCAGACCCAAGGATGTCGTCGCCAGTGCATATGCACCGGCCCCGACCAGCCCAGCAGCTCCCGTACCGCTCCCCCAAGCCGCCAAGCTAAATGGGCCGTAGAAATGCGTCAACCCAACAAAGCTCAACTCTCCCATGCCGCTTGACAAACTCGCCAGAATAATTCCTGCGAGCTTAGTGGATATCGTGCCGCCATCGACATATGCCGGGCTTAACGCCACCACGAGCATTCCAAGCGCGGAGAGGAAGACGCAAATTACGATTCGTACGGAGTAAGGGACTGCATGGATGAAGTAGGGAGCGACGAGTTTTGTTCCGAAGGATGGAAGGACATCAGCGAGCAGCACGACGCCTTTGGGGACATTGGGCCCGACTAGGTCCAGGGCGGCAGATAAAATGATGACATAGAGGACGTTGTTGATAAGACCTTATGATCACGATTCAGTCAGAGACGGAGCACAGTTGGTGTGTATCGACGCAAAATAGCCTACCAAACAGCCAAAATGCCACGCAAACCTTGGGGTCTGCTCCTTGAAACAATGCACCAAGCTGCGCACGAAAACGTGCCCATGAGGCAGATGGCGCTCCTGGGAGAGGTAGCATTGGTTGTTCAGGCATAGCCTGTTCAAAGCTGAAGGCGAAAATTAGTGCACTACGGAGTAAATGCTGTCAAGCAGCGAAAGCAAATATTGGATTAAGCTGAAGTGATAAGTATACAGTCATATCATAGATAAATATCGAAGGGCCATGTAGCTCAGAGATGTTGTCGAGTGGAGGAAATTGGGGGAAGGTCGCGTGCCACCCCGAGCGGTGAGTTGACAATACCTACCGAGAGATAAGGCAGCCATTTGCAACGAAGGTATAGATAAGGAATAACCACGCAGTATATAAATCGCAGCCAGGGATGCATTGCAGAAGTACAGGGTAGAACGGCAATATCTCAATTATATACAGACTATTCTTAGCCTTGAAGCCTTGCCACTGTCGCCTTTCCTGCCCTACTTTCATTATACCGACCTAGTTCATCACTAATCCATGCACCAATTCTTGACATCTCCTCCAGGTCAACACCAGTGTGCATTCCGAGACCGTGGACAGTATGAACGAGGTCCTCGGTTGAAACGTTGCCTGTCGCTCCCTTGGAGTAGGGACAGCCGCCAAGCCCACCGACACTACTATCAAAAATCCGAACCCCGTGCTCTAAACCTACAATGGTGTTCACCAACGCCTGACCATATGTATCGTGGAAGTGGAGAGCCAGATCGGTGTTGGCAATACCCGCTGCCTTCAGGGCTTGGAGAAGCTCCATCGTGCGGGGTGCGGTCCCCATTCCAGTGGTGTCGGCCACCGACACTTCGTCTGCTCCCATTTCGAGCAAGGTCGCTGTGATATCAGCTACCTTTGCGGGAGAAACGTCTGGGCCCTCGTAGGGACATCCCAGTGCAACAGAAACGTATCCACGAACCCGGATATCTTTTGTCTTGGCCAGTTCTACGATTGGGCGAATGCGGTTCAGCGACTCCTCGATAGTGCAATTGGTGTTGGCCTTGGAGAAGGCTTCTGTAGCTGCGGCAAATAAAGAGACCTCTGTGGTCGTTGGGGGTTTGGTCGTGGTTCCTGTTGTGCTCGCGGATACGCCAGTTGAGTCCATGACTTTGATTAGGCCCTCCAACCCCTTGACATTCGGAACAAGGTAATTGTAGGCAATGGCGTTTTGTGACTGCGGTGGGTTTTGTAACAGCTGCTCACATATTTCTGCAGTACTAGCCATCTAGAAGCCGGTGCGAATTAGCATAGTAGAAACACGTTGAACTTTGCCAACCGTCTCGGTTAGGGGCGGACCACACGCGGGGACATACCTGGGGCACCCATTTTGCAGGCACGAAAGAACCTGCCTCAATTGTTGTTACGCCAGTTCTAGCAAGCTTTGAGATAAGCTCTAGTTTTGTCTCGAGCGATATGGACTTTTTCTCGTTTTGAAGCCCGTCGCGAGGTCCTACTTCGACAATGCGGACATGGTCCGAAGTTAACCGCGCCTCTGTCGCAAAGCGTCTGATTGCAGTAGCTCGGACAGTGGACAAATGCCCTAGCCTAAGCCTGGGCTTGAACATCCTGATGTGGTAGTAAGAAGCAGGGGAATTTAAACACAGATTTTGGACATGGAGAAGAGCAGTGATGAAACCAGGTCATGAAGCTCCGAAATCATGCAACTCCAGGGTGTCTGGTGGGAATGCGGAGAAGCACTCGAAGAAGTTTAGGCTGACAGGGCGAGAACCCCACCTGACCCCCCTCTTAGTCAGAGACTGAGGGAAAAAATGGTTTCATCCCACCAAGGCATCGATCTATACTCTATAGTCTTGCAGTTCCTTGTTAAGACGAACAATCAAAGCCTCAGACTGCATATCCAGGCAGCAGCATGGGCGACTCGAGTGGAACACCCCAGGCAAATGCCTCCTTAAGACAACCGAAGAAAAGATTCGTCGGAAGACGCACAGCAGACGCCCAGGCACAATCATCACCGAGCGTCAAGGATGTTGAATCTACAAGCGTACAAAAAGGTAGAGACAAAAAGAACCTCGCCATATCTACTGCATATGCTAACAATAATAGCCGCCCCTCGGAGGACCCCAAGGACATTAAATCAAGTGCCCCCCGAGATCCTCAATGATCCCGATATTCTCGCTGCCATGGACCTCCTCCCAAAGAACTACTCATTTGAAATCCCAAAAACCATCCACCGCGTTCGAACTTCCGGCGCAAAACGCATCGCCCTCCAGTTTCCTGAAGGCCTCCTTCTCTTCGCGACCACAATATCCGATATTATTACCCAATTCTGTCCAGACACCGAAACCCTCATCATGGGAGACGTCACCTACGGCGCATGCTGCATTGATGATTACACGGCGCGCGCCCTCGGCTGCGACCTCCTCGTCCACTACGCCCACTCCTGCCTGATCCCGGTCGATGTAACGAAGATCAAAACCCTCTACATCTTCGTCGACATCAGCATCGACACCACCCACCTTCTCGCCACTCTTGAGCGCAACTTCCAACCAGGCAAGACAATCGCTACCGTCGGAACAATCCAGTTCAACGCAACACTGCACGGCCTAAAGCCGGTCCTCGAGCGCGCCGGTTTCAACGTCGTCATCCCCCAAATCACCCCGCTCTCAAAGGGCGAAATCCTAGGCTGCACATCCCCAAACCTCTCCGCCCAGGAAATCGACTACCTCCTCTATCTCGGCGACGGCCGCTTCCACCTTGAATCCGCAATGATCCATAACCCCACCATCCCCGCCTACCGCTACGACCCTTATTCCCGCACACTCTCCCGCGAATCCTACTCCCACAATGAAATGCATACTCTCAGGCGCGACGCCATATCTACCGCCCGCTCCGCTAAGAAATGGGGCATCATCCTCGGCTCACTAGGTCGACAGGGCAACCCACACACGATGGCTATGATCGAGGCGCATCTCCGAGACCAGGATATCCCATTCGTCAATTTGCTGCTCAGTGAGATCTTCCCGGGGAAGTTGGCCGCGATGTCGGATGTGGAGTGTTGGGTGCAAATCGCTTGTCCAAGGTTGAGTATTGATTGGGGTTATGCGTTCCCGAGGCCGCTTTTGACACCGTATGAGGCTCTTATAGCACTGGGGATTAGGGAGAGTTGGGAGAGTACGCATGGGGGTGTTTATCCGATGGACTTCTATGCGAAGGACGGGCTGGGGAGGACGAAGCCGCAGCCGGTACAGGGGACTGCTTGAATTATACCCACCTCAAAAATAAATGACGATCGTTTACGACCAGATAGACAGAAACTATAATGTTTACGAATAGAAGCCTTGCGAGTATAGAATGCTTATAGAAATGGGAAATCTTGTAATAGTTTCCCATAGTAGTATTACATAACAGTATCTTGAACTCATTAGTTACAGTAGGACAGTAGGCAGCGACCATCTTTAGCCCTTGACATCGTCCGCGCTATCCATATTGGGGTCACTGGCGCTTTCTCTTCGAAGAGAGAGGACACTCTTACTGGCCAGCTCATCAGCTGTCCGTTCAGCAGCCCGCCATCTAGTGACCGCCTGCTCGACATCCTCAAACATCTCAAGGGTGTCTTTTATGATGCCACCTTCATCATGCTCCGGCACAACTTGGCGTTTTCCAGACCCGCCATCGGCAATCATTGGAAATGCGGGCCCAAAGCCACGTTGTGGAATTGGATTGAACATTACCGCGTTGGCAAACATGCGTATCAGTTCCTTCTCGAGCTGTGCCGAGTTGACTATTGCTTTGGGTGGAATAACATCGTCAGTTTTTTGCAGCATAAGGACCGCATTTTTCGATGGTGTGCCTGTGTTCGGAACTGGGGACTCGCCATCCGCAACTGGCGTGTTGGCAGCTTCTGTCGCGGCTGCCAAAGACTTGCTACCCTGGCTTATGCTTGATTTGATAGACTTGAGGTCCTGCGGTCGGTAGATAAGATCTCGGTATCCTGGCGCATCGCGCTCGGTCAGTGGCTTTGTGAATATAGACGCATGCTTATGAGTCAAGACATCATTCATAATAGGAGCTCCGGTTCTCGGGAAGTTGCGCGCGCACAGCACAAAGGGCGCCGATTGATCTGAATCCTCGCGGTTTGGCTGATGTAGGTCAGGTTGCGGTTGCGGCTCTGGTTCAGGGGCTTCACTAGGAGGACGTTTGCGCTTTGGACGACCCCTACCCGGTCGAGGTTCCGAGCCAGTTGCACCCTTTTGACCAGCCGAGCTCCGTTCAGCTTCGGCAGAGTTAATTCTTGCCGGGGTGCTAGGTACTTCGCGCTTAATCTTGCTAGGCTCCGTTCCCGATTCATCCCCACGTGATAGAATAGATCTTCCTCGACTTCTTGATGAAGCTGCACTTCTATCACGTTTCCTGCCCGTCGGCACTGTTGCCTTCTCTACCTTCTTTTTCGCAGCCCCTTGGTCAGCATCTGTTGCCTTCTTTCTTCCTCGCCCCCTTCGGCGCGGAGGCTCGGGCTCTTCTGGCGTTGCCGCCCGAGATCCAAATGGTGACTGAGCCTTCTCACTAATTGGGCTGACATCTTCCGGCCGAGGGCGGTCCGGTGAGCGGGGTGAATGGGGTAGTGTGAGTTGTGGAGTCTGCTTCCACGGGGTGAGCGATCCAGGTGTGTTAATTGACAACCGTGGTCTTGAGCCCCGTCCTTCCGTAGCCGGTAAACTCTGGGCTGGTCCAATAGGCGTTGCAAACCCAGAGGCAGGAAGAGGAGGAGCTGGTGATTGGAAGGAAGGGCGAGACTGTTGGGGCGTCGACGGAGCCACTGCATCTTGAGGGCCTTTCTGTGCCTTTTTCTCAACCTTTGGCGTTTGTTGAGTAAGTGGTGGCTGAAGGGGCTTAGTGGGGCCTGCAGGTTTGGCGGTAGGGGGTTGCGGCGGTTGTTGTGGTATTTGAGGTTGATTCAATGACCATTGCTGGAAGCTGGCTTGTGGCGGTCCATTGGAAACGGGCGCAATCGGAGCACCCTTCACGGCCGAAGTGGCTTTTTGCGGAGTAGGTGAAGGAGCCGGCAGATTAGCTGGCTTCGGAGGTTTGCCGGGAGGTGGTTGTGTGGGTATAGAGTCGCGACCGGGCCCAGGACTAGGAGCCACAGCAGAGGGGGACGGCAGGGGCTTTTGCAGTTGCGTAGGTGGTACGTTCGCTGTTGTGTCTTGTACCGGCGCATTTGGAGCTGCATCGCCTGGTTTTTGAGGCGGCGCCAGTTCCTTGCCGTTGGGTAGTTCTGTCTGCTGCGGCGAACTAGGCCCCGCAGGTACGCCATGAGGAGAAGAGACGGGAGGTTGTGGTTGAGGCCCGAGCGACGACTGTGATTTCTGTGAGGGTATTGAAGGTTGTTGGAATGTAGCAGAGGGTTGTGGTTGTAATTGAGGCTGCAAGTCCTTCGCCTGGGTTTCCGGCTGTTGTAAAACAGGTTGGGTCGGTGGCTTAGGCTCTGAGGTTGCTGGTGGTGGAAGGACGGGAGGCTGCGATTGCGGCCGTGGCTGGTCCTTGTGGGGTTCGGATTGGGGTGGTACTGCGCCTGCAGTCGTAGTGGGCTTAGTATGTGACACTTTCGCCTCCTTATCCGGCTGTGGTTGCGCAACTGGCTTCTCGTTTGCATCCACATCCATTGGCTCCGGTGCAGACTCATGCGTCGTTTGGGGAACCAGAGCTGGTGTCGGCTCCGTGGGCTTTTTCCGGGGCGCTTCACGCTCTTCCTTCTCTAAATTTTCGATCTCCTTCCTGATCTCTTTAAATCGCCTCTCTTCGTGTCTGATCTCCGTCGTAACCAATTCCTTATACTTGGCGTACAGGTGCGGCACTAAATAAGGAATGACACCAGGATTCCGTTTTCCATCATCAGACAGGCCATCGGGTCGCGAGTTGGTAATCTTGCGCTTCTTGGGATTACTGGGGCTGGTTGATTCTGAGTGGTGGCCATTCGGTTCGTTTGCAGACACAGATGAGTCGCCGTTATCACGCATCAACGTCGAATACAGCTCCTCCAAAGCCTCCGGAGAAAGGCGGTGCGCGTCGAACGCGCCATTTTCGCGAACAAACTTGTTGTTGCGCAGAAGATCGGATATCGAGACAAAGCTGGTCGGTCGCGTGTCGTAGGCCGCAAGAGACTGGAAGAAGAGAAGCGATTCAAGGGGAGTGTAAGTCGACAGAGGAGGCATCCCCCATTGCCCGTGCGACCGGCCACTGGGGGAAGATGAATGAGGGATGGGGGCCACGGTGAGGGAAGGGGTTATGGAGGGAAAACCCGGTGAGGTCAGTTGAGGATGATGAATTGATGCAGTCGCGATTTGGTTCAATGATCAATTCTGAAAAGGTAGGTGAGAGCGGCGATCGCATACGGGTGGCTGTTTAGACCATTGGCGCAGCGGACAAAGGGGGTACGATCCTTGGAAAATAAAGGATGACGCGTGAAGGGAGCCGGGGAAACGGAAGCTCGGCGGGTGGGAAAAAAAACAGAAAAAAATTCGTTAAAATTTACAGCGTAAGACGAGATGGGAGGATGGTGAGACAAGGATAAAAATCGGAGTTGAAGCGCGGAAAATGGACGAGAAAGAGGACGTGAGGCCGGAACAGCGACTGGGGAAAATCTCGTTTCGACGACGTTTCCCATTTCTCTCTTTTCCCAGCCTGCGCCTGGCCGGTACCGTCACGTGATGGAGATCGACATTCACGCAGGCGCCAAGGAATGGATTCCTGTAAAGCTGTAACCAATAGCTGTATGTATCGTAATCGGCTTACTTGTCGAACTATGCAAAATGACGCCACGGGTTGCCCCGGCATTATCGCGAACTACGGGGACTAGGGACATGTTATGCATCGGTAGCCTCACGCATTGAACAGCAGGAATGGTCCGAGCAGAGTCATTCAAGACCTTGCCCGGGCGATAGAATATTCAGAAGGATCTCGGACAAGTTCCTCCACTCCAAATGCTCCAGAGCGTCTTCAAGGGCACAGGATAGCTTGAGTTGAAGGAGGATTATGATACCGTATTATTACAGGACCCCACGGTGTCAGGGGTGGAAATTGCCCGCCCCTTTCTGCTTGAGATCTATAAGACTGTGATGATGAAGAGTATAGTCCTCTGTCCATGCGTTTGGTACCTTTGGCACGCATCTCCCGGTGGGCCAAAGTCTTCATGGTCATGTAGAGTACAGAGTAGAAAGCACAAGATGCTCTCTTGTATCATACTTCTACGCCCGAACGCTTACGCCGGGCCTTGGGAGGAGTCGATGGAGCGAAGCTGTTTGCTCTTCTGATGGAGAGTATCCAGCAGTTGTGGGGAGATTCAAAGAGCTATTGAGCATCCAACGAATGTCAATGGTCATCAAGAGCTGTCGATTCGGGCCCGTTTCTCGCGAAAGCTGATGAGCAGCAACCGTCAATCTCCCGTCCCCTTTCTCTCCCTGTCCCTCGGGCCCCTTGCAAACTCTCGAGTCTCCTTTCTTTGCTTCCTTCGTCGCATGTTTCCCCTCGTCGAATGACTCGAGCTATCGAGATAAACCCCCAACTGCAAAAAAGCCGCCAGCTCCGGATCTAAATTTTGACCTGCCCCCTTTTTGGGCCGCCATCTCTGTCATTCCCCCGATCGTGCAGGGCCCCTGTCAATCCAACTAAAAAGTGGTCCCTCCTGGCGCCGTCAAGAGGAGTGCGACAAGGCTGTCTTCCTTCCACTTTCCCCCATCAACTCTCCCACTCCCATCAACAACTGTCTTCTCCCCTCCTCGGGCCTCCTTGAATAATAGACTTTCAGCTGGTCCTGATTTTCGTCCCTATAATACCTTAATCTCGCCTTTATCGGCGGTACTTCATCTGCCACTGTTATTTTCTCATACCTCGACGTTCGACCCCCAAGTTGTTGTGATACCCCCCTTTGCCGCGGCTCTGCTGAACCCGGACTTGAGCTTCTTTCGATATTCCAACCTTAAGAGGCCTTTTTCCCTTTCTCGCCTGAAGCTTTCGAGCTTATATATTATTTATATATTTAACAGCAAAGATCCCAAGATGTCGGACGCCGACCAAGAATGGAAGCCGAAAGCTCGGCCTCAGTCGTCCGTTTCCCCCTCCCTTTCTGAAACCTCGACCGTGAATACTGACCACTAAATTATAGGACCATGGCACAAGCTTTCTCTTCTGCACTGGACTCTGCCTTTTCGCTTGATAGCGATGTCGACCATCTTTCCTTAACTATTGATCAGAAGTAAGTTCCTGGTCGGACGCTCCAACCCCCTAATCCACACTCTTGTCTAGAGAGACACTAGCACAGTAATAAATGTGAGGGTTTCAGGCTAACAAAGACCCTAGAAAGCACCAGATGATGATCCAAAACCGAGAATTAGAACAGCTCCAAGCTAGAATCCGCGAGGCAGAGGACCGATTGAAAGCGC